GTCGTAAAATGATTATCCCTATTGTCGATATCTTGATTCCTGTTATAAAACCCATCTTTAGTTATTCCATTTCGTCTGGAAATTTTCCCTCTTCCTGGAAAGAAGCTCAGATTACTCCTATACCTAAAAAAGCAAATCCCTCCAGTTTCTCTGACTACCGCCCCATATCCATAATTCCATTCCTTTCAAAAGTTTTTGAGCGTATATTTCATCGACAATTGAGCATCTACTTATCTAGGTGGAGTCTTTTCAATTCTTTCCAATCAGGTTTCTGTGTTGGTCATAGTACGACTACTGCCTTAGTCAAGATTACAGAGGATATTCGTCTAAGTATGGATAAACAGCACGTAACAGTGTTGACCTTACTTGACTTTAGTAATGCATTTGACAATGTGGATTTTGATAATGTTAGCTATCTTAGCTTCTCTTAACATATCTCCTGAAGTGATTGACTGGTTTCATAGTTAATTGTTTGGTCGCCGGCAACGGACACGTGTAGAATAGAATAGAATAGAATTGAATAGAATAGAATATTTTTTATTCAATGTACATTACATGTGTAATTCTTATTGAAAGTCATTTTTTACTTTACCACTGGTTCGAAAAAAACCCTCTGTCCTGGGAAGAATCAGCAAGAAACCCAGCGGGACTTTTTTTTAAAAATAAATTTTACAATATAAATGATTACGAACTATTTACAAAATTTATTTTAGAAACTGCTTGGAAGCGACTACCTCATTCCCAGGGGTTATTATCAACCATGTATTCATTTATACTATAATAACCCTTTTTATACAGTTTCAGCTTAATAAAACATTTAAATTTGGTAATAGAGAGAACCTGTACACTTTCCGGGACCTTGTTGTAATAGCGTATACATTGCCCCAAGAATGAATTACTGACTCTGTGGAGTCGAGAAACTGACATCACTAGCTTGTGCTTGTTCCTAGTGTTTACAGAATGTATATCACTTTTTTTACTAAAACTATTTTTGTTTTTGTGAGCATACATTAAATTTTCGTAAATATACTGAAAGGCCAAAGTTAAAATATTAATTTCTTTAAATTTATCTCTAAGAGACTCTCTCGGTTTTAGATTGTAAATAGCTCTAATGGCCCTCTTCTGTAAAACAAAAATAGTTTCTGAATCAGCCGCATTTCCCCATAGCAAAATCCCATAAGACATTATGCTATGGAGATAACTAAAATAAACTAATCTAGCTGTCTCGTCACTAGTGAAATCTCTAATCTTTTTTACAGCATAGGCTGCAGAACTTAGTCTGCTTGCTAATTTGGATATATGGGGGCCCCACTGGAGCTTTGCGTCAAGAGTAATTCCAAGAAAAACAGTGGATACAACAGGGCTCAATTCCTCCCCATTTAAAAACACATTGGTATTCTGATTTTTAACATTCGTTGTTGTAAATTTAACACAATTAGTTTTATTTCCGTTCAAATGCAGATTATTAACGTTAAACCAATGCACTAATTTTGATATAGCATTATTCACTTCGTCACATTTAAATGATTGACGTTTAAGTTTAAAAATCAAGGAAGTATCATCAGCAAATAATACTATATCATGACTATCCCCTACAAGGTGAGGTAGGTCATTAATATACACCAAAAACAGGAATGGGCCGAGAATTGAACCCTGAGGAATACCCATTAGTACAGGTGACCCGGAAGAACTACCATTGATAATAACCTTCTGTTTTCTATTTCTTAAATATGAAATAATAAGTTTAAGCGCTGTGTTCTTGACACCAAGGTACTGTAGCTTTCTGATTAATGTCTAATGGGGAACACAGTCGAACGCCTTGGAAAGGTCACAAAATATACCCAAAGCATCCTCTGAATTCTCCCATGTACAAAAAATATGTTTGATATGCTCAACTCCAGCGTCAGTTGTCGAGCGACCCCTTGTAGATTAAAGCTGTTCAAAACAACTATAAATCAATAGCGCACTACAGACTATAAACTATAAATTTATAGCGCGCTATCAAATACGCTATGTAATAGAGCGATATTTGTAAGAAAGCGCGTGCGTGGCCGGCAGGCGCGTTAAGTCTTGCAGCACACTAAATGTCGTAGCACGTTACATTTTGTGCATGGATCATACCGCGTGCTAGATAAGAATATAATTTATTAATACGTAAAGCAGTAAAAAAACCAATGAACTCTCCTTCATACTTTTCAGGCTTATGACTGTCTATAATTGATGTAAACGTTATTTTAACATTAATGTTAATTATGAATCAATTATAGGCGCATTTAAAAGTTCATTGGTTTTATATACAAAAATAACTCTTTACATACATATAATCATAATTCTTCATTACAGTCACGTAATCGTGTCAAAATAGAATTGTTTTTAAACAATCTTTTATTCCAATATTTACATGTCATACACTAACTTCTTTACACACACAGAATCACAGTTACACAATAGCGTCTTTTAATTTGATTTCAAACAATCTTCTAATCTATTAATAATATACAGTATGCACTAAATAACCAATGTCTAACACTAAACTATATCGCACGCGCAATGAATAGCGTGCTGCCAAATAAAATTTGCGTAACACGTCCGCTCACAACAGCGTGTACGCGAGACTAGCAGGGTAGCAGACAGTCGAGCGCTAGCGCCGCGCTAGAAATAGTTTCCGCGCTGGCCGACGCCAAGCGCTATCGCGCGATATTCATATTTCCTACTTATATAGCACGCGCTGTGCGCTATGGAAAGATAGCGCGCTATAATATGACGCTATGCGCTATATTAACCACCACTAGTGTAGATGGCTCGTTCTCTAACTGGTGTACGATTAATGCCGGTGTACCGCAAGGTGGCGTGTTGTCTCCTCTCCTCTTTTCAATATTTATTAGTTCGATCACGCTCCAATTATCTTCTCGCTACCACCTGTATGCAGATGATCTCGAAGCATATGTGCATGCCAAATTGATGGATTTACCCAATACTATAGGCTTATTAAACAAAGATCTTGACTTAATTGTGGATTGGAGTAAATCCTACGGTCTTGAAGTAAATCCATCAAAAACAAAAACAATAATTATAGGCAGTCAAAAATTGGTTAATCTTATAGATTTTTCTACCCTACCTGGTATTGTTTTTGATGGGACACCTGTGCCATATAGTGACACCGTTAAAAATCTAGGTGTTACTTTTGACAAATTTTTATCTTGGGCTCCGCAGGTAAGCGAGGTAAGTAGGAGGGTGTTTGCGTCGGTTGGATCTCTCCGTAGATTAAATAATTTTCTACCCATACCTACCAAAATTGCGCTTGTACAATCATTTCTTTTACCGATTCTCCATTATGCTGACTCGTGTTATCTCAATTTAAATGAGGAGTTGCTTAATAAACTTGAGCGCATTCAGAATCTTTGCATACGGTTCATATTTGGACTTCGAAAATATGACCATGTCTCCGAATATCGCGAAAAACTCTAGTGGCTTCCGATCCGTCTTCGCAGGAATACTCACATTCTTTATTTTTTATACTGTATACTATTCATTCCCACTTCCCCTTCTTACCTTAAAGAGCGGTTTGAGTTTCTTGGTGATACTCACTGTCGCTCTCTTCGCTCTGATAAAAACCTCACCCAAAAATTCCATCTCATAACACTTCCTTCTATTCTAAATCCTTTTCTGTTGAAGCTCTTAGGCTCTGGAACTCCCTACCGTTGCACATTAGAAGTGCGCAGTCTATTGATAAGTTTAAAAAACTTGTCAAAGCGCACCTCTTTCCTCTTTAAATAGTCATTCCTCTAAAAAATTACTACCTACTCATTTTTCCTTACGTTTAAGCTTTGTCTTTACTTACTTGTTTAATCGTTTCTGCTCTCGTATATGTATGTCTATATTTTGTATTTAAAATGTATTTATTTATTAAAGTATGTATGTATTTATTGATTATATAATTAAATGTATGTCGTATGTATTTTCCAACACACGACATACATATAATTAAAATAACCTCTTACCCTTTCTCACAGGTCATTTTATTCTCTGTTGCCAGACCCTATGTTGGTAGAGATCGCTCCTAAGCGATAAGGCCGCAAATAGTAACTTTAAATAATTTATGTTTTTTTTTTCTCTCATATGTATTTTTTGGTGTACAATAAAGTATATTTCATTCATTATTTAATGACCCTGTGGCCTTAGTACGATATACGATCATGTATTCGAAATCTTACGCAAAATATGCGATCTTTTCAAATCTTATAATCTGTATAATAAAATATAAATGATAATTGATTAAGTTCATTTTATCGATATGAAAAATCCTAGCTTTAAACTTTTCCTTGTATTTTGTTATGAACGTATCCAATCCAATAATTTTTTAAACTCTCTATCCCACTCGCACTCTAGAAATACGCAGCGTACTAGCTTTTCTTATTGGCTTTAGAAATACGCAGCGTACTAGAGCTTCTTATTAGTATGTGGTATTATACTATTCCGTCAACTCGCCGCCGATTAAGGAGTTTGTTTTCATTCTATTCGTTCTAATTCAAATTATAATACACTACGCAGATAATCATATATTACGTATTGTTGTTATTCTTTTTTTTTTTTGAGTTCTTAGCAAAATACCATCTTTTCCAGTTTATGGAACTATCTACTAAAAATATAGTTGGCAACCCTGGTCTCCATTCGCGCCAGAAATGCGTTAAATGTCAAAAGTGATGTCTTTTTATTATAACAATAGATAAATCTGCAATTATTTATAAGAATTTTGTGTAAGACCACGATAAGTTTAGAAATAAGTATGTATTTAGTATTTCTTCTTCGTATGTGGCAGTATTAATTTTTGTTCATACCTACACAAAGTCATAAAAAAATTATGTTTAGTCGACACGAATATTCTTCATCGTGCTTAATCAGCTTAATGCGTTATTATTTAATATAATACATTTTTTACCATTAGACTGACTAATTTTAATTAGCGGCAGTGAATATTTGTATGTGTCCAATTTTTAGAAATGCCGGAAGATCAATCTATCGGTCCAGACTTGGAAAGAGTTCTCGAGCACTTAGACGATTTCGCCCTCAATGCTCAGAATTATCAAACAATACATGATGCTTTAGAAAAAACGCAAGGAAACATTAAAGTGACGGTTGTGGAAAAATTACTTAATATATGCGTACGTGATTTAAAAGAAGATATGAAAAATACCGTCAACACATTAAATGTTTTGGTTGCTGTTTTGAATAAAATTAAGGTGTATAATTTATTTACTTGGTACTATGTGATATACTATGTGCGAAGACGTAATTTGTGGTTATTCTTTAAAACGGTACGACTACTGTTATTACGGCGCCGTCATTTGAATTTTGGCGGATTTGCATAGATCTCGACGAGATACGCCGAAAAGTAAGAATAAATGTTTTCGATATCTTGCTTAGTTTCAGAGATATCGATACTCAAAAATTACTTTTTTTACACAGCAATATTGACCCAAAGTTACTTCTGCTATGGCTTTGGCGTGGAAGTTTTCTTTTTTCGGCGTGGAAGGAAGCTTTCGCCCTTGCCTAGCAAATATCAGGCACCCATGCTCACCTCTGCAGTTTTGGCTTATTAGTCCCCTTCGATGACCGGCCTCAGCCGCTATGACTCACAGGTGCCTGCTATTTGCTACAGCAGGCTGGGGCTGCGCTCCCTCTGCGCCTACAGCTACATAAACACTCTAGGAGTAGGGCAGACAAGACTATGTGGAATTGTGTGGGTTCTGATACAGTTTTAGTATTCGATTTTTGAGTATCTATATCTCGGAAAAAAGTTTGAATAAAATATCCAAAAAAATTATTCTTACTTTTTGGCATATCTTGTCTAGATCTATGGGAATTCACCTCCAAATTGTGTTGCCATAGGAGCTGTAGAAGCCCCTTTAATACACCCATCCTCTTCAAAATAAATAGGTTCATTAAAAATAAATAGATTCATTCAAAATAAATATACATTTTATTACTTATATATTTAGTATTTATTATATTTAAAAAATTACATTAAGTGATTACACTTATTAATGTAAGAATATACTTATAACTTCTTTTATTGTGTTTTTATTGTATTTATATATTTAGTTAAAATAAATTAAAATTGTTTAAGTATTAAAGGTAGAAATTTTCAACTTGTAGGCAGGAGAATTTCATCAACTGCCAGACCTTGTGCCGTCAGCTGTTGCTGTACTTCACATAATTAAAACCACAGCACTACTCAACAAAGTAGAGGGACTTAAGATGCTGTGTTTTGAAATTTTACTCTCTTATCCTAATGATGTTCTTGTTACTTTAGGGGTTAGTCATTATAGTGAAATAATGGAGATGTTGAATTTATACTGTCACCAGAGAATTCCATTGGAGATGAGGCTACAGGTTAGTTTTATAAATATTTAAATTCTTTGTGATAGATAAACAGTAATGTGATGTAAAATTCAATATGTGTTATCCTTATCCTTGCTAAATATCATTAATGAAAAAGTCTCTGTTTGTTATCTTTACACTTAACTGTACTGATATTGCTGATTTTAGATAGAGATAGCTTGCATCTTCAAGTACAATTTAAGCTTTACTTTTTATATTTTTTCAATTTATCTCTTACACTTCAATTTTTTTTAACCACAATAACAATACCCACAACAGTAATAACAATACCATAATTTTTCTTTTAAACTTCAAGCTATGATTTATGTTCTTTGATAAGTCTGATTGATTTTAATTTAATTTCAGCCTATGAACATAATCTTCAAATTATTAAAAATTTTGCCACCTGACAAAAAAACACTCTTTGTGAGGGAGGGTGTTGGGGTCTGGTTTTCTAAGGTAGTACCAACAGTAATGGCTTTTGCAACTTCTGTCAATACAAAGAATACTATGCCCATTGAAACACTTGAGATGCTGACAGAGGAACTTGTTGCAATTGACTATGCTGATCATCCTAACTGGCAAATGGTTCTTGAGTGCATTTACACACCACATAAGTGAGTATTTTTTAAGATTCCAATTAACTTAGCAATTTCTAATACTCTGACTGTTCCTATTTGATTCCTCAACATATGACTTCGTTAGTACAAATATAACTAGGTGTAATAAAGTTTAGCTATAGACTTCTGAAAGACTGTATGATGATGATGAATATAACATAACTTTAAAAACTTGTAAGGAAATTTAAAGTAAAATATAACTTAGCGGCATGAAAGTAGTGGTGACTGTTACTGCGCAAGGGTCGCGTTGATCGGTTTATTGCGCATTAGTCGTGCTGATTGGCTCTCCAGTTGTATTCGTGCAATTAAATTCGTGCGTGTCCCCTCCACGTTTCGTTCAGCGCTAGACTTACGTGCCGCGACTTGTACTGTAGCTATTGTGCCTACTGAATATGAAATAAATATACACAAAACTTTGATAGTGTTCTCAACAGTTAAGTTTTGTTAAGATGTATATGGATAAGACAAAATCATGTCTATGTAGTTCTTGGGATTGGGAACACTATGTTGAGGTTGACAAGTATGTGTATCTAGGACAAAATGTCCAATTAAGTACAACTTTGATCAAGAGGTTGAGCGACAAATAAAGTGATCGCCAGTCGCCACCAGGCTGGTTATCTATTATAATTCATTTAAAAATTGCACGAAACAATTATTTTAGAGTGAAATATGTTTTTACAAAAGTCCCACTGGGTTTCTTGATGGTTCTTCCCAGAACAGAGGTATTTTCCGAACCAGTGGTAAATAAAAAAATTACTTTCAATAAGTATTATGTCATAATCTATATTGAATAATAATAATTCTATTCTATTCTAATTCAACTCACAGCTGGGCAGTGCTTGGGAAACTTCTTAAAATAAAAGTTTACAACCAGTGTGAGCTGCATGTGTGCCAATGTATCTAAATGTGGTACTTCACTGTGCCAATGTACAAATCCATAATGAATGCAGAAGAACAAGCCGACAATATAACTCACACAACGAAAATCTTTATAGAACAAAAATTTTCTCTCATACCTGATGAAAGTGAGTTGATGGATGCAAGTGGCTCTATGACAGGTGTTTTGTGGAAATTTAAAAAGGAGGTCTATGTTAAGAATAAAGAATTTAAAGTATGTAAAAAATGTTGTGTTAATCATAACACATTTGTAGTGGTGTGATACACTTGATATTTGAACTTTATAAATTTGACCTATTTATCCACTTGTGAAATTTATGTAATACATTAATTTTTCCAAAAATATTGCACAAAAATTAATGTACTACATAACATTAATTTTTGTGCAATATTTTATGTATAATTGTAATTTTAGTGCAAATGGTTTAAAATTACACTACATAAATATGCTTTTATAACAGATCCCGCAAAGTTTTTGTTAACTAAAATCACCCATAATAACTATTTGTATCAAATATTCAAGGTACCCAGCAATCATGAAGAATCTTTTAGAAGCAGGTAGTGATCTATGGTCCCGATTATGGATGATTTTTATAAAATTACTTAAGAATCAGATTACCAAGAGTAACAATTCTGTTGGAAGTCCTATTAACTCAATGTTGCCAGTTGTAGAAACAGCATTTAAAATGAATGTAAAGAATAGGTGTAGAGCATTTTTATGCTGGAATGTTTTGATAGACAACTTTTCTACAGAAACCAATGAAGTTTACATAAATAAAAGACTTAAGTTACTTATAATTCCACTTACGTCTAACAATGCAAAAGTTGAAGAGACTGCTCTAGCTAAGCTTAATACATGGTGGCATTTAATAAGACAATTTGAAACAAAAATCGAAAAATTCTCTGATACAGTTCTTCTTCCTTTCCTACATTTTTGCTTTGGCAAATCTACAGTACCTGAAAAGCCTGTGTTTGCTCCTGGATTACTCACAATTAATACAAAAAGGCAAGTCTTGCAAGCATTTGCCAACATTGCAGGTCATGTTAATTGCGACTGTACTGTCAACATTGCCAAACTCAATAGTAAAATACTCACTAGTAAATTGTTAGTGAATCATTGGAAAACTTGGGTGAATTCATTAACTATGACAATAAGAATATGTGTCAATGATAATAGTGATTCTGCCACTCAACACTTCAAATGTATTTGGAAATCATTTATTGCAACTATTGCTGAAGTATCAGACAGCAATATTAGACATAATTTATTTATTGATCTCTTGACTATACTAGAGGTACTAATCCAGGTATGTGTAATAATTGTAAATGCATATATTTTTATAGCTACTCTATATCATAAATGTATCACAATGTTATTTCTTTTTAGAGTCCACGCTGTGACAAGCTTGCAGACTTAATCTTTAATGTAGTGACATATTCATTACTTGACCACAATGAAAAAGTTCAACCTTTGTTCAAGGCAGAAAATGAAGAAAACAACCCTATCCATAAAATTGTCAATTTAATTTTGAATCCTAAACTGGACTATGTTTTCACAAGGTACAACTTATATCATTATATCAATATTGCTGAATTAAATAAAACTAAAATGTATTAATAATTTATAAATACATAATGATATAATATATTTTTTAATATGGGTACCAAATGCAACTCCTGAGTTTTCAAAGTATTAAACAGAGGAGGATATTCACTAAAAAATGTTAATGTTGATTCTTTATTATTTACTAGTAAAGTTAATTAGACTTTCATGGAGGGTATATTGCAACTATGGCAATATACCCCCCATGAGAGTAACGAAGAGACGGGCCCCAGTCCCCGGCGGCCCCGTTATTCCTGGCTACGGTGACGACCATGGTAACGGCGGAGCTGGGGGTGCTAAGAATCTCCGGTGGAGGTTCGGTTGCCACCTATGACGACTCGACCTGGCAACTTATAACGCACGCACCCTGAAGACTGACGAGAAGATCCTGGAGCTGGAAGAAGAGATGGACAAGTTGCGCTGGAATATCATAGGATTATCCGAGGTCCGAAGAGAGGGGGAGGACACGGTAATCCTCGAACCCGGCAAATTGTTCTATTGTTCTTGTGTCGGATTTATCGTGCACAAGTCTCTCGTTAACAACGTTGTAAAAATTGGGAGTGTGTCGACAAGGGTTGCGTACCTTATACTCAGAATCACCAAACGGTATTCGCTGAAGGTCATACAGGTTTACGCACCAACCTCGGCACACCCCGATGTGGAAGTGGAGGAAATGTATGAGGATATATTTAGAGCCATGCATTCCTCCAAAACCCACTATACAGTATTAATGGGAGACTTCAATGCGAAACTAGGCACAAGAGAGAATGGTGAGCTGAAAGTAGGGAAATTCGGAACAGGGCAACGGAACCCAAGGGGCCAGCAGCTGGCTGACTTCATGGAGATAGAGGGACTCTTTATGATGAACTCTTTCTTTCAGAAGCCACCCCACAAGAAGTGGACCTGGTCGAGCCCCGACGGTTCGACAAAAAATGAGATTGACTTCATTATGACGACCAGACGACAACTGTTCAATGATGTCTCACTGATCGCGAGGGTGAAAACCGGCAGCGATCACCGAATGGTGAGAGGCACACTGAACCTAAACGTTAAGTTGGAGAGGTCACGTCTAATGAAGTCAACGCTCCGTCCCCCTCGTGCTCTAATCCAAAGTCCCGAAACCTTTCAGCTCGAGCTACGAAACCGTTTTCAGTGCCTAGAAGATTGCAATGCAGTGGACGATATGAATGACAAGCTCGTGGAAACTGTCCATGCGGTCGGAGCTAAGTTTTGCAAGACCCGCCGCAGAACAACACAAAAACTCTCCGATTACACTCTTAATCTCATGGCTGTTAGAAGGGATATGAAGCTGCAGTCTTCAGTAGATTTGACAGCATACAGGCAACTGAACAGACAGATCTCCAAATGCATGCGGCGGGACTTACGCAACTTTAATACTGCTCGTATTGAAGAAGCGATCGAGCGGAACCAGGGCTCCAAAGTCTTTGCTAGAGATCTGTCTGCCAGAAAGAACCAACTGTCGAAGCTGAAGAACGAGTGTGGCAGCGTCATTTCCAGAACCCCTGAGATTTTGAGTGAGATTGAGAGGTTCTACGGGCAGCTGTACACATCATCGTTGGAGCCACACGCAAGTTTGAGTAACGATACAAGAGCGAGTCTTATCCGACATTATTCCGATGATATCCCGGACGTCAGTCTGAGCGAGATGGCTCTCCGGCACCTTAAAAACGGCAATGCGACTTGACTACTTCCAGCCTCCTGAACAAGCCGGTTTCCGAAAGGGCTTTAGCACCATAGACCACATACATATCCTTCGGCAAATTGTACAGAAGTCCGAGGAGTACAATTTGCCACTATGTCTGGCGTATGTGAACTATGAGAAAGCCTTTGATTCCGTCGAAATTTGGGCCGTGCTGCAGTCCCTTCAGCAGTGCCAAGTTGACTGTCGGTATATCGAAGTGCTGAAGTGCTTGTACAGTAGGGCTACGATGGCTATCCGAGTACAGAACCAGAGTACGAAACCTATCCAATTGCAGAGAGGTGTAATACAGGGTGATGTTATATCCTCGACACTCTTCACCGCTGCATTGGAAGACGTTTTCAAGCTTCTGGACTGGAAAGGATACGGTATTAACATCAATAGCGAGTACATCACTCACCTTCGATTTGCCGACGATATAGTCCTTATGGCAAAATCGCTGGAGGACCTAAGCACCATGCTCAACGACCTCAATAGTGTCTCCCAACGAATAGGTCTAAGGATGAACATGGACAAAACAAAGATCATGCTTAATGTACATGTTACACCTATGCCGGTAGTTGTTGCGAGCACTAAGCTCGAAGTTGTTGACGAGTATGTTTACCTGGGACAAATAATCCGACTAGGTAAGTCCAACTTCGACCGAGAGGTCAAACGACGGATTCCATTCGGCTGAGCAGCTTTCGAGAAACTACGACGCTTCTTATCGTCAGACATACCTCAAAACCTTAAAACAAAATTGTACAACCAGTGCGTGTTGCCAGTGATGACTTACGGATCTGAGACGTGGTTCTTCACTGCTGGCCGTATGAGGAAGCTTAAGGTCGCTCAGCGAGCTATGGAGAGGGCTATGCTCGGGGTTTCTCTGTGTGATAAACTTAGAAATGAGGATATCCGCAGTAGAACCAGAGTAACCGACATAGCCCAACGGATTAGTAAGATGAAGTGGCAGTGGGCCGGCCATATAGCTCGAAGAACCGACAACCGATGGGGAATAAAGGTCCTTGAGTGGCAGCCTCGTACCGGTAGGCGAAGTTTAGGGCAACCCCCCACGAGATGGAGTGACGACCTGGTAAGACTTACAGGAAGTCGATGGATGCAGGTGGCTCAGGACCGTGCTTTGTGGCATTCCTTGGGGGAGGCCTATGTTCAGCAGTGGACTTATGAAAGGCTGTAATAATGATGATAATGAGACATCTATTGTTATGGCCGCTTCGATGATAACCATATATTTTGTGTAAAAGGCTGTGTTGTGGGTACCCAGCGGTATACATATGTGGATGTTGAGGTCTTCCGAGAAAGTTCCAGATTCTGAATCTTCATTTGTTTTGGAACCATCTGTGAAAATTCTAAGTTATTTTAGGCTTAATCCCTCTGGCCAATAATGATATCTGCAGCATAGCTACTGGAAGGAGTCCTGTACCTGGTAAGACATGCAAAAAGTTGATGGATGCTAGTGGCTCAGGACCATGTTTTGGGGAGGGCTATGATCAGGCAGTGGACTTTAAAGTGGGGTGTAAAGATGGCATAATAAATAATTATTATTATTTATTGTCTTTCAGTTAATTGGACAAGAAATTTTTAAAATATATCAACAGTAAAGTTTATACAGTTAGAGAAACAAGTAACAGATTTCAATTTTGGACTTTTCAGATATGATGCCAAAGAAATTGTAACGAAAATCAAACCATTAACAAACTTTATTGCTGATGAGTATTTAAATCAAGTGATAGAAGGCTATTTAAAGAAACCACTAGTTAAAAATAACAGCCTAATGCTATGGACTGCACTGTCAGAATCTATTTGCAAATTGAAATGTGACACTAGTGTTGAGATGTTGCGGAACATGCTATTGTTGCCTTTGAAGTCGATGAGTTTGTTTACATCGGTAAGAATTTTGTGATTTTCAATTTTTATTTGAAGGCAATACTGTCATAATATGATAAGTAGGGTACTCTGTTGGTGTTGAATGTAATATATCTAATACTGTATCAACCTACAAGTGACTGACAATTGAATAATTATCCTATTTTTGCAGCTTTTGCCCTGTAGCCTATCCATACATATAGTTTTTTTTAAATATGTTTTATAGTAGTTGTGATTTAGGGTCTCCTAACAAGGAAAATTGGATAAAGTTCAATTAAATTTCAACTTTTTTCTTCCTTCTGTCCACTCCATGTTGTTTGCTCATTTGAAGTATACATTGACATGCTCACTGTATAGTGAGCACGTCAATGTATAATGTAGTCAGTTGCATTGCCGTTCACTATCATCTGCAGTGTTGTTGTAAGCCTGCTGTGAATCACCAATAAGTGGTAGTAATCTCGCAGCAAACTCTCAGAACAAAACAGTATTCAAAATTGAGGCTCTTTTGCCGGCAATGATGAAAAATGCGTACGGCGCTAGTAGTTGTGCGGTGAACCTGCAACTGCTAGCGCCGGACGTAGATCTGGTTTGACGCCGGGCTGAGCTCCGGCGAAAAGCCGTCTCGTGGGTATGAGGCCTTATTTGACTTAAATTTAAATGAATTTAATTTAAACGAATATTGAATTAAAAGTAGAGCCGTTGAGAATTGAAATTAGGTTGCTCGTAAAAGTTAATTAATACTGTAAGATACTACAGAATCTGATGTCATTGTTTCATTTTTAAATCATTAGTTCATTGCTTATGATGATTTCGTATTCTAGAATTTTTTAGTGCTTTTTTTTTAGTCTGTTACTTCTGACACTTTATGAACTTCTCTCGTCTCCATTTTAGTTTAAAATAACCGTTAGATTTGTTAATTAGTTCTTTGAAAATCTTAATGTTTTTAATTTTTTTTAAATTTATAATTATTTCTTTGTACAGGTGGAAATATCTGTTTCGGCGTGGATTTCGTTATACAACTATGGAAAAAGTAAATTAAGCACCACTTCCATTGACGAAGATATATCTGAAATGATTTCTGATCGTAATTTTACAAGCGCTGCAAATAAACATTTTATATTCAGAACTTCATTGGCCCTTTTAAATAATAGAATATCAAGTGAAAATGGTAAGTAAATTAATGGTTTAGATGACAACCACGCTAATTACAAGAATTTTCAGGAGGTAGTTTTAAAGTTTAACAAGTTGCAATGAAGCTTTGTGAATTCTATTGATAACTGGTGACCCGTCCCGGCTTGGCCTGAATAGAATTAATTAATGTAGCATTATTTAGATTTAAGATAATCAAAGACCATTTATTTTATAAATCATCCGTCTTTTTTTATCTGTTCTCGTTAGTTCTGTATCTGTCCGTAAAGTTTCATCATAATCGGTTCAGTTATTACAAAGATTGCCATGGGCAAGGCAGAAGGGCAAGACCAAGAAAATTTAAAAATGTTTATTTATGTATTAAAACCATGTAAAAAAATCTGAGCTTGATAGAAGCCAGTTAATACAATATTACAGACAGAAACTTCAATTGTATTTATATGTATGTATACATATAAAGGTGGAACACCATGGGAATTTAGTTGGTGCGAGTCTGACATAAGTCCATACCCCCGCGAGGCGTATGTGTTATGTACAAAACTTACAAAACGACTGCTCCGTGGCGCAGTGACTTAGCAATGATTTGTTGCGCTGGGGGCCGCCGGGTTCGAAATCCGCATATAACAAGTATTTGTATGGCCTACAAATAATTGTTCCGGATTTGGATGTTTATCCTCATGCAATTTATGTTTGTAAACTGCCTCCACCATATAGTAGAAAATCCTAGTGTGGGGGTAACGTTTTTAAACTAGAAAAAACAAAACATGTGACATGTAAAAGAAAAGGTAGACATAGGTACTAGTCAGGAACTTTGATATTGATGTTGATACCATATCCTTTCCATAGTAGTAGCATGAAAATGTCTTCCAATGTAGAGTATTAGGGTTATAATGCTACCCTGTCTTCAATCTTGTAGTGATTGGATAGGCTTTGTACTCTGGTTCTGTACTTGGGTAGATATTGTAATGTTACTATACAAGCACTTCAGCACCTCCATATGCCGACTGATAACTTGGAAACATAAAGGGACTGGGAAGGGGCTGATTGAGGGATTTACTATCACTTAAAGCGGTGAGAGGTGCATTTCAATCTATTGTCGCAGATATAACTTTTAGCAACAGGATCAAGTATGTCTCTGATCTGGATATGCTAGCTTGCGAAACACTAGTTAATCCAAGAACAAAGTACTTCGTTCTAAAATTCACTGGCATTAAATGTTTCTTAAAATATCAAACACTTATTTTTACTGAATACTCCCAGTCAAAAGTGATTTTAACTGCTAGTCTTGGTTATAATTATTTTTAACCAATCAGTCAAAATAACTATTTACCAATAGTCAAAACTGCTTTTGCCTAAACTCTTTTAGTCAAAATAATTTTTAAATGGTAGTGTAATGGTAGTAGGGTAGACTGAGGCGATTCGGATCACAGGGCGAATCAGATCAAAATAAGAATTATTTTAATAATTCAAATATCGCGCTTGTCAGAGCGCTAATAGTCACCTGTCAATGTCATACCTCTTCTCTCGCACCTCTTGACATAAACAGTATTGGATTTTGTAAGCGGATCAGTGCAGGCGACGCTCGCCTTTGACTCGGTCGCCCAAGCGCATAACAATTTCGGCGCGAAGCTAAGGTACGTACTTCAGATTATTGTTTGCCATTTTACAGAATTACTTTAAAGTATTAAATTTCTTTGTTATATTTACTAATAATGTGTCTTATTATAACTTAATTACTTACTTGCGTTTTAGTATATTTTAGTGCGTATTCGGAGAAAACTGTTGAGTAAGATCTTCAATGATATAGGGCGAATTGGATCACGTTGTATGGGGCGAACTGGATCACTAGATAATTCCTTTTTTATCACATCATTATAGTTATTTATCCAATTTGTTTGTTGTTTTAGATGATTCGCACATATATAAGGAACACCAAGCAAGGTCAGTGGAGTCTTGAGAGTATGGTAAAAGCTGCTGATGAAGTCATGACCAAAAAACTAACCATGCGTCGGGCAGCTGAGGTATACGGAGTGCCGTTCACGGCATACGGAGTTTGCGAAGGAGAGTCACATTATCCAGGGGCATAATTAAACAACAGACAATAAATAATGATAATGTAAAAAAGCTCGTTGACTGTTTGGTGAACCTAGCTAGTCGTGGATTCGGTATCACACCAAAATCTCTATGAAAATATGCCTTTGACTTTGCGGAACGTCAAAGTATTAAACATAATTTCAACAAAACAGCTGAGATGGCAGGAGAGGATTGGTTTCATTGATTCATGAAACGAAATCCACGATTGGCTATTTGCAAGCCGGAAGGTCTGTCTAGAGCAAGAGTTAGTGGAATGGAAAGAGAAAAAGTCACAGAATTTTTCACAACTTTAGGAAAAGTAAAAAACTAGAACAATTTAAAAGGTAAACCCGAATGTACACGATGTAGACGAAACAGGGGTGCCACTCAACAATCGCCCACCCAATGTTGTTGCAAGGAAAGGGTCGAAAGGTGTTGTCAGCATGACAAGTGTAGAACGAGGCGAGAATGTAACAGTCTTAGCTTGTATGAATGCTGCAGGACAGTTTATTCCACCGTTTGTGCTTTTTAAAGGTGTGCGGAAACGAGTTGATTTTATGATGGAATGCCTTGTGGAACAGAAGTTTCCATGACAGAAAAGGATTAGATAACAGAAGAAGCATTTAAGTTATGGTTGGAACATTTTAATCGATACCAAGTTAGAGTTAAAGTTATTTTGATTTTGGATGGGCACGCGTCTTACACTACTCTGTAGCAGATTTGTGTGACTCATTGGAAATTGAAGTTGTTCTTATTCCTCCATATACTTCAAATGCTCTACAACTGCTCGATATAACGTTTTTTTAAGCCATTGAAATCTTATTACAACCAACAAGCAACAATGTGGCAACATACTCATCCAAGCAAAGGAATTACCAAAGTCGCCTTTGGTGGAATATTCAAACAGGCTTGGAATCAGGCTGCTATTGTTGGAAATGTCACCAAGGGTTTTTAAAAGACGGGAATATACCCATTAAATGCTAATGCGATACCAAACTACAAGTTTATTTATTGGAAATGAAGAGGGAATGTTCGACAATAGGAATTCGATAACACCTGCTAATGAACAACAGTTGGACTTAACACTGCCATCCACAAGTACACAACAGTTTGATGATGCATTGCCATCGACAAGTTCGCAGCACTTGAAAAACACAACCGGCGATTGCGGAACTATCAGAACATTTAGACAAAGCAGAGCTTGCTAACGAAGATATTATAAAAGAAATCCTTCCGTCGCCGTATAAGTCTCCGACTGTGACAAAAAACCCTCGGAAAGTGAGAAAACCCGTCTTGTATTTGACATCGGCTCAATGTAAGAAAGACCTCTACGGAAAAGACCTAAAGAAAAAGGCAAATTTAGATAAGAAAAACTTGGTAGTTAAAAAGAAGGTTAAAAATTAAAAATAAAACAGCCTCAAGAGACTGGCATTGTATTTATTGTTCTGAAAAGTTTGTATATCCATCGTCGGAAGATTGGATACAGTACAATTCTTGTGAAGAGTTGTGTCATGAAAAGTGTGCCGATAGAGGAGGAAGTAAAGGACCATATATGTGTGATTTATGTGCCTTGTGATCACTGATCTCATAATGTAGGATGTTAATTAGTTTCTAACTGCTTTTTATTAAAATGTTTTGATTTGATTGAGATTTTTATTAAGGTTTTCATTTGATCCGATTCACCTCTGTTGTTGGGGCGAATCGAATATTTCTTATTTTTTCTTGTTTTGTATTTTCATGGAAGAAAGTTTAAGTTAAATTTAAGTTTGAAATTGCTAAGTTGTGCTTTAATATGCAAAGAATAGAATGGTGTCAATAAATATAATGTTTTTAATAAATCATTTGTTGTTTTTAATGCTTCATAAAAAATTTATACGATTTGCCTCTGTCTACCTTATGTAGTTTTAACTCTAACATATATTTATAACTAATACAACAAAATTTGCTACAAAATGCAACATGTCAAATATGTACGCATAACCAAACGAGCAAGATTATTGAAAAAAGTCGTATTTTTGCTCTTATTTTTCTCTAAAACTACGTGTTTCCAAGTTCTTAAACTTTGTACACGTAAATTAAAAAAGTAGATACTTCAAACAGTAGTAATTTGAAAGTTAATCTAATAAAATTTACCAAATTTTTACGGAATCAAAAGCATTCTTATTGTTTACATACATAAGATATAGTGGCAGATCGTACTCTTCGGTCCTCTTTACAATTTTCCGAAAGTTGTGGTCTATGGTACTAAAGCTTTTATCGGAAACCGGCTTGTTCGGAAGACTGGAAGTTGTCAAGTCTGTAATGAATCTCAAAACAGCATGTAGATACGACCCCGAATGGAAATCGGTCTGTAGTACCAATAGGTCAACATTTTTGTAATAATATTACTTAATATATCTGTCTGTTGATACTACTTAGTAGTAACTGAGGACCGTAATAAAATTATTCAGAATTGGTGGTAATAGAAAAATATTGTTAAAATTGAACTATTGCATCACTGTATCCCTTGTTTGTTGGCAAAAACGCAAAAACGTTCCACGTTCACCACACGTTTCCTCATACTTAGAAAAAAAGAAATTATTTAAATGTCAACCAGGCTAAAGCTGCATTTTGCAAGTTTGTAATTTGGTGTGGTAAAATCGAGGATACCAGAATACCTGTACAATAAGCTTAACTGGTCTAGTGATCATATATTAAAATACACGTGTCTCGAGTTTTCTGCTAGCTATTAGACACATCACTGCTGCTTTTTGTAGCGGCTTTCGTTATTTAAAAACTAAATGTTGGAATAATCTTCCGCCACCTCTTCGCGTAATTAGATCCAAACCCTACTTCAAATGTTTACTAAAAATTCTATTAGATGATGTATCAATGAGGGCATCCACGAGGCGCCACTTAGGATGAACTGAAATATTTGACAGATAACATGGTGGGGAAGATATAACATTTGTTAGGAAGATATAAGGTCTAATTTTTCTTTCTGTAATATTAGTGATATTTTATTTAAATAACATTAGAAACGAATAAACCAAACTACTGATATTCATTCCTAAAAGAAGAATGATTAGAAAAAAAGTTGAAAATTTTAAAAAATATTCAGAAGCAAACCAACGAGGCATTGTTTTGTGTAAACGTAAAACGCAATTGCCAATCGCCACTTTCGCTATCGAATAGAGGGCACTCGCTCTATAAAACGTCCTCTCAAGGCTGGAGTCCCACAGAGCTCCGTTCTCTCCCCACTTCTCTTCACACTCTTCACGAGTGACATACTGAAGGACCCTGTAGTGAACAGGTCTTTTCGCCGATGACACGGCACTTTGCGTCGCCCACCGCTATAAAATAATCCTTACCGCGATGCTCCAAACAGCAGTCAACCGCTTAGGCGATTGGTTTCGCTTATGGAGAATCGAAGTGAATCCCGAAAAAAGTGTAGCAATACACATTCAAACAGATTCATTCGCCTCGCCACCGAAGTTCGGTGGTACCAGCGAAACTCCGACTTACACAGAGACTGTCAACTTCCGACGATCTCGGAGTATTTCACGGAAATATCTCTGCGTTATTTTGAAATCCTCCGGAGGCCCCGTAACATTCTAATCGAACCCCCCTTCCGCTAAATGCCAACGACAGAAATGTCTCCGGCCGTTCACACATTAAGAGACACCGCACACTGCAGACCGGCTAAACTTTTTTTTTATAGGATAAAGGTGACATACGAGCACACAGTCCACCTGATAATAAGTGGATGCTGTGGCCTATAGACATCTACATCCATTCTCGAGTATGAATAAAAATGCAGATGCGTTGTCACCTGTAGGATTAAGATGGAATGCCTCGTTTCCAGTAAAAAGTGTCTTCAGTTCTCTACACTCACCATACGAAACACAGCAGCGTTAAGATGCTATTTTACGCTGGTATTCTGTGAGAGCGTGGTCTTTCCCCGTTCGAGCCGACTCATTCGTGCTACAACTATACCAGTAACATAGCTGTGGCATGGCTCCACCACGTAAAAAAAGTTGAAATATGATGTAAATTTAAAGAAAAAGCTGGGGGGAATAAGTAATAAGATGCACCCAGTATTTTCGGTTTCTCATCTTGATCTGTTTCCTTCGTTGTATAATAGCAATAATAATAACATTTCTGGACAATATTTTAGGTTTCATTATGCTACTACTCACTTCAAGAGCTGCTTACTAAGTACAATTTTTTCGCAAACGATCGGCCGACTGTTTGCTAGTGTGCGTACTCACTTTTAACCCGACTGTTTAATCGGCTCAGTGTACGCACTTACACCCCAACCCGACTAAACTCTCGCCCGATAAAAAGTCTGCAGTGTGCGGTGTCTCACTGCAGACAAACACTGTTAGGACAACAACGGATGGGTCGCAACAAGTCCGCAAACGGGCGCGCACGCCGTACACCGCGTCCCTGGACGGTTCTCACGGCCCAGAACATCGAACGATACGAGTTAGCCGTCAGAGCCGGGGTCCGCTACCCCCCTGTTCCGACGGCCGTTAGATCACTCATCCACGTGCACTGTTGGCTGTCCTAGGAGCCATCGTTACGCAAGCAATGATGCATTGTAATAAAAGTTCACCCCTTTTTAGTTTGCGGCCTGGAAGTCGAGCCCTGAGTCCGTTGAAGCTGTAAAAGCCAAAAGGCTAACAGCACAAACATCATCAGAAACCGTAAAACGCAATTTGTCAATTAAATTACATTGTATAATAATAGCCTCAGTCTCAACAAGCGACATCTGGTGAGCTGAAGGCTATTAGCTCTCATTAGGAATAATAAAATCAGGATTATAAAACCCATTTCCTATACCTATTACGTTCTTATCGCTAATTTTGTAAATAATCATCTTAATTTTTTTAATTAACTTTAATTCTAGCGATTGCTCGCAAGTCGATTTAATATGTGACTCCAACAGAATATCAGCGCTGCCGTAACTCTGTTACTGTAGCATTATGTTGGGTCGGTGGACTTTTTGTAGCTGCAATCCATTTTTTTTTTGTTTTGAAATTTTTAATTATAAGTATTTTTTGTTCGTAAAATTTGTGTTCTGAATATTGATTTTTTTTAGAGGTCGTTCAAGCTAACCGCGCTATGTGTAGTGGCGGTGTAAGAATATCTGCTACCCCATAACATCCCGTGAGTGTCGTAGGAGGTGACAGAGAAAAACAAATCAGGAGATGGGCAGCAGCGTCTCCCTAATAACGACTAAAAGTAAAAAAATAAACTGTGGTTGTCAGCCCGTTTGCTAAGCGTGGCAAATATCCCCTCTATAAGGCAATATATGTGGGAGGCGTGGACTTTAATAGGCTGTAACAGTTCAAGACATACTTTATATTTCATACAAAAAAATTAATAAATATTTGTAATGATGAATTAACTCAACTCTTTTTTACACTTAGCAAAAAGTAATTTGAAAATATTTGTTATGTTCATACATTTTTGCATTGTTAATTGAATTTGAAATCACAGATGTAAATATTTGAGAACAAAAAGAAATATAAAGATTATTAAACTATTATAATTTAAAACTTTCAGAAAATCTTATTTTGAAGATCTCCGAGACACTGCAGTATGTTACTAATGGCATGGATTACCTGTATGTTGAACATGATCTTCCATTTTTCGTGAACATTTTAATTTTGTTACTTAACAAAGTTAATAAAGTAACAAATACGAAATTGGCTGAAACAACTATATCGACGATCAACAATCTTTTGAAAATGATATCAAGATACTACAAGCAACAAAGTGAAAATGTAAGTATGATGTTCTTGTGATAGTTTTTAGATCAACTGTCGGAAGTTATCCCGTGTACAGGCAATACAGTATCTTAAATGCATGTGATAATAGAAACACTCGGCTATCCTAACTTACCTGTTAATTAAATTACCAAAAACAATACAACCAGACCTGTTGTGAAAATCTTTGCGCTGTGTGTGTTTGTTTCAAATCCAGTAACTGCTGCCAGGTAGTCTAACTACTAAGCTGGTCAAATGTACGATATTGTGTTTCAAAAACTATACAGATGAAAAAAAATTTGTTTAGTTTTGCTTCTTTATGGTAAACTTCGAACGCGAAACGGAGAGGTTGGGCATTATTGTCGACTTATCAAATCAGGTTTGTTATTTATAAATAACATACTAACATGTAAAGAAAAACACATTAAGAAACACTGAGAAAACACTAATGAATAAAATAAAAAACGCATGATGACTTTATTAAAATTTTCAATACGCATTATTATAAAAAAAAGCCCAATATTTTTTATTGACGCCGTCGCTAGTATCTTATAAAAAAAAAAGACGTCTTGACTGCAATCGTCAATCCGAATGCCGAGCGAGATGGTTATGGCAAATTCTTCCTACAACAGTAGAGGCCCATGTCTAACTGTGGACTTTTATAGTTATAGTTGATTATAGTATTATTATGTAGTAATTATTATACTCAAAAAATGTTTTTGTTTCAGGACAATCAAGTATTAAACGTTGTTGTTAAACTTTTCGAGCCCTTGGATTCAATATTTCGTAAAGAAGATTATACTAACCTTAAGTCAATAATATTGGACGAGTTAAAAAAATTCATGCCTTATCTAAAACATAATAGCGTAGAGAAAACTGTGCTTACGACTGTAAATAATATTTTAAATCAAAAATTAAATAAAAGTGCACCTGCAGCAGTTCTAAGTACCGGTATGCCACCTGGTAATCAAAAGTTACATGAAGATAAAGTAAGTGCCTCAAATTTGAGTTCAGACGATCATAACAAATTTACCGCGCCAGTGGTTAAACCAGTTACTAAGAAAGGAAAGAAAAAGGAATCAAACATTATTGATACGGTTGTTGAGAATGGAGAAGAATATGTTGTTGTGAATTCCAATTGGAAGTTTAATCCAAAAAAGTTAACTGACAATCAAAAGGAAAAATTACAAAGAAAGAGAGAAGATATACCTGCTTTGTATCAAGACTTATCTCAATCTCAGGATGAGTTTAAAAGAGCTTTTAGAACAAATTCAGTTGATTCTTCAACTAGCAGCAAATCTAACACCACAGAAAAAGAAGATACCTCATTAATATTAAAAAACATGCCATGTTCCAGTGTCGTACCTCGAATAATTGAGAATATTTTAACAGAAAGCGTTAAAAAAGCTAATCCAGATAATATAAACAGAGAAATAATAGAAAATAATCTTAATAGTGATCAGAAACAACTAGATATTAAAAGCCCTAAGTCACCAAGAGTTAATTTAAAAGATAGAGTATTCAGAAATGTCCGAAATTTGATTGAAAAATCTGGTATGCAAAAAGACGTAGGGGAATTAAATTCCACCGTCAGTGATAATTTTATAACAACCCCGCCGCCCAAACAAGATTTTAATGTTAATATTGTTAATTCTGCACCTCCAGAAATAACTTCTGAAAGACCTTCTCGAGTAAAGAGAAAGCCAAAGAAATTTGATGATCTCAACTTATTGTCCCATAAGAAACGAAGAAATTTAGTAAGCCAAGATGATTCACCGAGTTTCAGTGAAAATAACAGCGATCCGCATATATCTGAAGTGGATAAGAGATGTGAAAACGAACCTAATAGTATACTTGCTGAAGCAGAAATAATTGAAAATGCTATACGGGGCTTCGAGAAAAATGTAAATACTAATATTGATGCAACCAACTCTGATAATAATTTATTTCAAGGCCATGCCACAAACTCAGAACCATCACAAAGCCATGATGAAAGTACAAATGTCAAAGTCAATGCTGAAGAGAAGAAGAAAACTGAAGATCTGGATAATGGAGAGACAAACGTTCCTCCTATATCTAGTGATCTTTCATGTACCATTGAAACTTTAAGTGAAACAGACTCCTGTAATGTAAGTGATCGCAAAAATTCGTTGACGCCAAATAATGCTAACAAAGTCGAAAGGTCGTCAAAATCATCTTCTAAAAAATGTGGTAAAAGAAAATCTCGAATCGAAAAAGAATTAGCTATCGATATGGTCGAGGGACATCCATTTTTGAAAATGCAGTCAGAAAAGCGATTAACAAGAAAACATGTTAAGGATACTTCACCTACAGTGAAAAAAAGAAAAAGCTTGGTAGAAAAATTGAATAAATTGAAAACTGATAAAAGTTCGTCAAAATCTGACAAAAACATAAAAGATAAGGATAAGTCCAATAAAACAAGTAACGAAAAACAAAACGATTCATTAGAAGAATTTTCTTCGTCGCAGTCTCAAGATGTTATTGAAAGTTCCCAAGATTCTACTATTTCAACTATATCGACTATATCTGCAAAACCCACAAAAATATTAATCAAAAGAATACCCATGGTAACTTTAGAAAATATGAAAGAAATTCCTAAAGGCTTAAAAGTGCCTCAAGTTAAAGAGATTTCATCACATGAAAATACAGACGCAAGTGTCATAGAGAATAATAAATCCTCAACTTCACAAAATAACACGGATATTGAATTACCCTGCAATAAAACAGCAGTTGAAGAAAAAGTCGATTTAGAATCAACTGAAAATATGGACACGGAACCTGCTGAGTACAACTCTAGTTCAGGAGAAGTCATAGAAATTAGAGATGATGATGACCCACCGATTGTTATCAACACTGACGACAGTTACATAGATTCAAGTACACTGGATACAGCTAATGCTGATACTCAATCACTAGATCCAGCTCTGTTACTTGAAGATATCAATTCAAGCAAATTGCCTGTCTTGTCTGCTGTTCACCAAGACATTACAGTATCTGAAAAAGGCTGTAGCGGGGATAATAATACTGAAAATGCAACTACACAAAGTTTGGAAATTACACAAACAATAACTGAACCATCGATAAATTCTCAATCAAAAGATGTTAATACAGATTCTTCTCCATTCAAGGATGAAGCACAAAGAAAACAAGATTTTATGAATAATACATTGGAGATATCGCCCATTAAAACAATGAGTCCTGTACAAGAAGAAAAAAAATCACCTACTCCCGAAACCAGCAGTGATTTTGTAGTTATAACATTATCATCTCCTGTTCAAAGTAATGGAGAACCATTTGATAAATCTGACTCACCTGAAATTTTTACAAATGATAAATTATCACCAGATAAAAGAGATCAATCACCTCCAAGGGAAGAATTTATAATTAATAATTCAAGTCCTAGTTCTTCTCTATCCTTGAAGAAAAATCGACCGCAAGTAAGACCCAGTGGTAGAGCAGCGCAGATGCTAGGCTTGTGTGTACCTGATAGGCTACAGACCATAATTAACCCAGAAAAGTCTACAGAGCCTGAGGAGAATAAAAAATCCATGGCTATGAATACGTCGGCCAGGCGCAATTTACGAATATTATATAATTCTACTAATGAAAACAATGAATCGTGTGATGAAAATGAAGATAATGACTATTTTCTCAAGTTGAAGCGTTCCCTACCTACAGCTGACTGTAGTCCTTCTGGTCCTATATTGAAAAGGAAACTCGCTGACATCATTGACGAGGCAACCGTTTCTCCCGCATCTAAAGTAAGATTTTTTATCTCCTTTATATATTTCCTTTTGAGCTCTTACTTTATTAATAGATTTTAATTGTAATGTATTCCAGAGAAAACGAGTTAGTTTTCATGACCCACCTGTATCCACAACTGTTTGTGTTAAAAAGTACATAGAACCAAGTGGCATTCGTTCACCTCAGAATTCTGCTTATAAACGCCAGGAAAGACAGATACGAGCCCAGACTAATATGAAATCACCAAAAAGGCTAGACAGTGTATTTAAGTTAGAAAATGTGCTGACGAAAACTGTGGAAAGTTTTGTTGAAAATGACAAAAATATGACAAATGTTGACGACAGCGAAATGAGTTCTCTTGAACAAACACCTGTAGCAGAGGTTCTTAGAACGACTGACTTAAATGACACAGATCCTATTTGTCCAGCACTAGTTAATTGTAAGGATCCAATTGATAACATTGCGACAGAACTGTCATCTCCTGCTATGAAATTATTACTAATAAGAGAATTCGAGGGAAAGGTGGAAACAGTTGGTGACTTAGCAAAAATGACAGAATTAGAAGTAAATAGGTTATGTATTAAGGCTCCTAAAGTACAAGTAGCAAAACGAGTATTATCTGATTATGCTTCCAAAATAGAAATCTTGGACGAAGTTGAATTAACAAAAACCAATGAAGTTTACGAAAAAGAAGAAACAATGGTTTTGAAATTTGATGAATGTGATAATCAATTAGAAACAGATGTGGTGTCAAAAAATATTGAAGTGCAAACAGAAGCACTGTTGGTGACTGTAGCCTCTACACAAACAGATAATATATTAACTCGTAATATTGCCGCACAAACTAATGAATCTGGAGAGACGTCGACATCTAGTCTAATTACATCATCATTGAAAGAGGTAAGGTGCAATATTTATTTATTTATTTATATCAACTTTGATACTAGTGCTATGTAATTTATTTGTAACAACTTAGAAGCAGGATTGTAATATCCAGTAACTTTATAATCTTGTTATTAATTATAACAGTTTAGCGGCCTATTTTATGATAAGTCTAGCGTTTTTTATTGAATCTGGAAGTTAGTTCAGAAAGCCAAAAAGTATAATATGTCAAAAGCGTAAAGTATGCTATGTAAACTCGGAAAGAAAAACCAAGGCAAAACCATCCTTAACTTTTTTATATAAAACAAGGGTGACAAACGAGTACACATTACATGGTAGAGTCTTGACTGGGAGGGGCTTCACTTACAGAATAGTATTTTTTTTTATAGAAGAAGGGTGACAAACGAGCACTGGCCACCTAATGGTAAGGGATGCTGTGACCCATAGACATCTACATAATCAAAATGCAGATGGTTTGTCACCCCTGAAGACTAAGCTAGAATGCCTCGTTTCCAGTTAAAAGGGTCTCCGGTTTTCTACATGGACTGTGTGTTGTCATTTGTCACCCTTATTTTATATGAAAATTGAGGATAAATATTTGGCAGTCCATAATATTAGTTCTATCTAATTTATAGTACTAATGCTGCTAGATTGTTGTTGATCGACATCAACCGGTTGCTTTAGTATCAAAATTGATGATCTGGACTATCCGAATGGATTTACTGCAGTTTATTTTAAAATGAATTAAATAATATACAAAAGTAAGAAACAAGATATTTATAAAATTATAAAGTAAATTAAATTTGAAATGTACTTATATCAAATACTTTCAATTTGATCAGCATCGTAATAGAAATCACTTTTCTTATGATCATTATTTGTAGTTGTTTCTCTTAAGGATAATATAATTATCGTATTCTATTTTTTGCGTTGAAGATCTTCTGTACTGTATTACTACTATTATTAAACAAAACAAATTAAAAGACAATATAACAAGAATTCATTTCTGAGGCAATCGACAAAACCAACTACCCATATTCAATAATAGTTTGACATTTATAATCTGTCGCACTATGCGTTGAGTAGCTGGCGAGCTACTCTGTTACGTTACTTTACGTTACATTGGAATGAACGCATAACGTGCGTTGATCGTCCCTCAATTGTAGTTTGTGATAAATTTTCTGGTCCCTGTGTGAGCGCACTGTGATACTTCAAGAGTAAAGTTTGTGAATAGGAGTGTTATTGTAAGATTTTCTAGCACTTGTTTGTATTTCATATATTTATAAATTTGTGTTTCCGCCTTTTCAGAGACCTGACTTTGTAAGTAGGCTAAGTGAGCAACTTGACGAAACTTTTAAGCAAGAGATTACCCATAATATGTCTCTTGACAATGTTACAAAGTCATTATTAAAGAAAATAACTATAACCAATTCCTTTGACACGTTAAGCACGTTATTGGAACATCATCGTACACTCGGCCCTTCTGAAGATAATAAGAACCAGTTATCAGTTATACAAAATTATTTGTGTAACAGGTTTGATAAAAAAGATTTAATTTTATTCTGTAGTGAATTATTACGAAAAGTTTATGAAAAACCCGCGTAGACGCTAACCTTTGTAGCTTTACAAATATTGTAGAGTTTGTTTTATTTATTGCGACTTTTATCCGCTGTACGATTATGTATTGACTAGGTTTATATAGTTGTTAAGTTAATTGTAACATTATTTTTATAGTTTTATATTGTAGATGTGACAATGGTTATCATAGGAGTCCGTCTATTAAGGCACTCAATAAGCAATAGGATTTAATGTAGTAAATAAAAAACAACAAAGTATAAAAACTAATTTTATTTCATATAAAACAATTTCAAGTAGGTATTTACATAATTCAGTCGTGAGCAGTGGCCGTGGTGGTCACAAGATATATAATTTGCTTCCATTCATACAATAAAACGTAATTGCAACAAATGCAATGCTGATTGTCTTCCCAGTATGAATGAATTTCGGTTTTGAACATTAAGTAAATGTAAGATAAATAACACTCACAGTAAAGTTTAGAAATGTATACCTTATAACGAAAGTTACGTAGGTACATGGCAGCAGAAATGTATTACAATTAATATTTACACAGTTTTAAAAGATAAAAGGTAACCTTAAAGCTTCATATATTCATTGAGACATTAAATACACACATAATATTTACAAGTTTTTTGCTACTACACACCCACCCCTGAACTAATAATAATTATCACACTATTCATTATGAATAAACTAAATTAGCGTTTAGCCTGCAACACTTTGCCAGATAAAGAGCATGATAGCAATAGACAACGAAAATTGACTGATAGTTAGCGTATGTTAATTACATAGGCTCTAGGAACTCAGTAATGTTCAAATAAATTATTTATAAAGTCGCTGTGTTTCTCTTCCTCCGATAAAGTGTGTTGGTTATCATTGTATAAATATCCTTTATCACCTACGGATATGTTTGTATAGCATGGGAAACTGGGATTATGATTCGGTAACATCATTTAAAAATTTAATTGGGAACATTTAGCGTCGTCCTATATATGAAAACTAGATACTAGTCATTAAAAATACTAGGATTATAATAATTTCTTAATTTTCGATCTCTGCGGTAATTTTAGTAATTCCTTTTATTATGTTTTGGACCTACATGACATTTCGTTACCAAAATTAATGAAGCTAGCGAATTTCGTCACATACGTTTTTATATAATGCCGCTTGTCTTTGTCTATATTTTCCGCACATAAAATCTTAAATAAATCCCCTAAGAAGTAATCTTATACGATAAAGTAATATGCTTTACAATAATACATTAAAAACAACTATCTCACGATTAAGCGCAAAATAATTTCCACACAGGAAAAGTGAAACTTTGGTCCAAACATTGAGCACTTGAAATATACTAACTTTGTATGCGATTTACAGAGGTTTTTCAATGACTGTCAAGGAAAACGCATTTCCGCTACATAGTCTAAATGTTCGAGATTATGGTGGGAGTTTGAACGCCTAGGGGCCCGTGGCCTATGGATGTTGTGATGCGAATGAGCTCGCATTACTCTATACGGACCTTCTCGAAGAGGTCCTGCATCGCTTGTCTTACGAGGTGCGACCCAATCGGCATCCCTATGTACTTGGTTTCTACGGTAATTGTCCAATGTTCGGCGATTATCATCGTGGGGTTGTCTTGTCCACGTTTTGTCTGTATCGTGTCCGTACAAGTCTAATTCACCGGAGGGTTGAAATTGGCTGGTGCTTTGACAGTAGTTTGATTTTTTCCATCTGTCTTCGTACTTCTTCTTTCCATTTCCATCGTTACCAATTTGTCTTCGCTGCGACTGGTTAGAGCTGCTTTCGCTTGTATCTTCACCTGAAGTACCAATTCCTAAGTCCTTATCGTCTCCATAGATCTTGTAGACGCCATTGGGATTAATATTTTTTCCATTGAAGATCTGATCGTTCAAGACTAATTGCGGGTGTGGTAAGCAATATGGATGGGGAAAACATTTGTCTACTTTCGCCATTTTTATATCTTTATCTGTCCTCGTACACGACCCTGGCCCGAACAGAGAGAGTAAAACCGGTAGAAGGAATAAGCCGTGCATTGCACCGAAGAATATCACCATAAATACCATTTTGAAGAACACTGAAAAGATGTAGCTGTCTGCTAGCAACAACGCTATAACGCCTAGAATTGTACTAAATGAACCTTGAACTATAGGGAGACCTAAAGAATATAAACATTCGCTTACTCTTTCATCGGGAGTTTTTGCCTTTGATGTCATGTAAGCATAGCAAATATGAGCCGTAAAATCTACAGAAAATCCGATGCACATGATTAAATTGATCATTGATATAGAATCGAGATTGATATCCCATAGGGCCATGTATCCCACAACACCGACTTCTATTGATATAATGCTAAAAGCAACCCATAAAGAGCATAAAATATTGGGGATAAATATAAAAGAAGTGATCATCATCATAAGTGCTCCGTAACAAAGGTTCTGAATGGACGTGGGCTTGACGAGCTCGAACTGAAACAAAAAAGGTCTTATTATAATTTCTATTACACAGATGAAAATTATCCTTCTACTTAAATATATTATGTTACCTGATCAAAGAAGACGAAATACGGATGGAAGACTGATGCATTAAGTGGCGATTCGGCCACAATATCTCTCAGAACTTTGACCATTTCCTTCTCGTGATTAGTACCGCTGATGTTAATCGCTTGTATTAAAAATCTCGAGGCGATAATTTGATCCCCAGCTTCGTTCAATTGCACATCTAAAGAAAATGGATTGGCGGGGAAGAGCCATAACTGGGAACAAGGTTTATATGTTAAAATTAGTTATAAAAACAATCTATATATTTTTAAATATACACTCTTTGTTTACTTACTTCTTTTAGATTTTTAATGAATTCGGGTTCGGTGTCAATAGTGACATTCAAATAGTCGTTATTTCTCGATATGTAATTGACGAACGTTCGTAGCCACGATTCGGTGTACAAGGAGTTCGATATGTATGATGTGTTCTCTAATTTCTGTGTCAGTGTTTCAACTTCGTCTTGGATTTGTGGATCGGAATAATTATAAGTTCCACTGATCACAACCTGTAAAATGTATTGAATTCATATAATATATATAAATAATATGACGATAAATGAAATAACCATGTACCCTATCACTCGTAGTCAAATCTTATTTATTTATTAGGATTACCAACAGAAATTACAACAGTAATACAAAGATCATTTTCTTAACAAATCCAATACATTATAATTGTATTTCTTTTTAAAGTTTTTCAGTAATCTCAACATGCATTGATTATTTTGTAAGCAATAAAAACTGAATTACATCATTGAATAAATACAAATTATTAAAAAGAAATAGAATTATTTGACAATATTATAAATATCTTCATTGTCATATTATATTATATTAATCAAACTATAAAAATCAAAAACAATTCCAATGTTATAATTAATAATTAGTTAATTCGTTAATTCATAGAAATTAATTAATTTTGATTTGAAGGTGGATAAACTATCGCATTAATATCGAGGGCGGAAATCTTCGAGGACAGTTCGTTATAAGTGGGAGCCAGTCTGGCTAGAGGGGAATACTTTCCCAAGTTAGACCTATAAAGGGATACATTGAAAAAGGCGTGCGGATTTCTAGGCATTCTTGATGGCACCTTAAAGTTAAATAATTGAACTGTTGCTGGACAATCAATACTATTATTGAGCGTTTTGTATAGGAACATCATGTCAGAGATACTTCTACGCGATTGTAGTGATGAGATGTTAAATTGTGCCAACTGTCTTTCGTAGGAATCATTAGTTTGATAGCTATTCGAATTGTACGCAAGATAACACAGCAGTCGCTTTTGTATTCTTTCGATTCTAATGCTATAGATTTTGTAGTGCGGATTCCAAATTTGACTGCAGTATTCTAGTTTACTTCTAACCAGACTACTGTAAAGTTTGATTGTAGTAGAGGGCTGCTTGAACTCTTTGGAATTCCTCAATACAAAACCCAGTGACTTAGTAGCTGAGGTGATTATGTTATCAATATGGTTGGTAAATTTTAATTCGCTATCTAGAATAACGCCTAAATCAGGTATCGCTCGAACTGCAATTAGTTTCTCAGTATCAATATAGTATTGACTCTGTATATAATTATGTTTTCTGGTAAACCTAATAAGTTGACATTTTTTGGCATTGAGAAACATTTGGTTGTTATTACACCATTGAATAAGGCTGTTGAGATCATCTTGTAGTAATTCGACGTCAGAGTTGCTTCTAATAGTTTTAACTATTTTGAGATCATCAGCAAATAGGTAGACCTTAGAGTGTTGAAATATCGAAACAATGTCGTTTATAAAGATGTTAAAAAATACTGGTCCTAAATTCGAGCCTTGCGGTACACCGGAGTAGGCAATATATGGCTGCGAGGAGTATCCGTCAATCACCACGGTCGAAGATCTACTTTGAAGGTATGATGCACTCCAGTTTAATAATGTCCCATTAATACCAAATACTCTCAGTTTATTGACAAGTAGTGCGTGACTTACTTTGTCAAAGACCTTGGAGAAGTCTGTGTATATAGCATCCACTTGTAGTTTATTATCAATGTTCTCAATTAAATCGGTGACATATAAGAACATATTTGTGACAGTAGATCTACCAGACAAAAAACCATGTTGCTGATGACTAGCAAACATATCACATATTTCTTGCCTACTATTTGCATCACGATCATTCAGAGACGTTTTATTAGGATAATTTGAGCCTTTACGACGCATGTTCTTCATATGTGTCCAAAATACCTCGTATTATTGCTAATAGCTTCCTCGATGTGTTTAATATAATTATAATAACATTGTGTTATAAGTTTATCGCAATCCTTCCTTAGGTAAGATAATTCAATTTTATCTAATGGATTATTAAACAGTTTAATTTTATTATGACATTTGTGTTTCCGTTTGATGAGTTTAATTAGAGCGGGTGTAAACCAGATCGGATAAGATTTTGAAGATTTGTACGATTTGGGGACGAATCTGTCTATTGCTACCTGCAGGATTTTGTAGAATTTAGATATCATTTCATTTACATTATTTAGTACGCCTAAATTTTGTAGTCAATCAACATTGTTTATGAATGCTATGTATAATAGGCTATGTATAATAGGCTGCACTAAAAGTATCGGGAATGGAATATTTCCACTGTTCCTGTCATATTAAAATCTTTTTAATTGAAAACTCCTTGGTTTTAAAAATCGAATACCATTTATTTATTTAAAAAAAGATTCTCGGTCTTGTCACAAGGTTTTGTCAAACTTGTTTAGTCGTTGAGAAAATGGAATTGACTCGAGAAAATTCAAGAGCGATGATTTATTATGACTTTCGAAGTGGTTTAACACAAAAACAGTGTGTTGACCGGATGATTTCTGAATTTGGTGATGAAGCCCCATCCAAAACCATAATTTATCGCTGGTTTGCTGAATTTCAACGTGGACGTGTCAAGCTCAGTGATGATCCCCGTCAAGGTCGTCCAAAAACTGCAATCACCCAAGAAAACGTTGATGCTGTGCGTAAGATCGACATGTGACATACCCGAAACAAAAAACCAGTCACGAGTTTTTGTGTTCGAAAATGAGTTAAAGCCAACAAAAATTGTTCGTTCACGGAGTGTTGCAAAAAAAATGGTGGCCACGTTTGTCTCCAAAACCGGCCATGTTACGACTATTCCTCTTGAGGGACAAATAACGGTTAATGCAGAATGGTATGCTAGCATTTGTTTGCCACAGGTCGTTTCTGAACTCCGTAAAGAGAACTGCAACCGCCGCAACATCCTCCATCACGACAATGCGAACTCTCACACCGCACACAGAACAAAAGAGTTTTTAGAGCAAGAAAACATAGAATTATTAGACCATCCGCCATACAGCCCCAACCTAAGCCCTAATGATTTCTATACTTTCCCTAAAATAAAGAATAAATTGCGTGGACAGAGATTTTCATCACCTGAAGTAGCTGTGGACGCCTACAAAATGGCCATCTTGGAGACCCCAACTTCCGAATGGTTGCTTCAATTATTGGTTCCATCGTATGAAAAATGTCAAATTTCGCGGAGAATACTTCGTAAAGCAATAAATACATTTTTAAATAGTAATGTTGTGTGATTGTGTCACTTCCTTGATTCCCGAAATTTTCAGTGCCGCCCTCGTAATGTGGAATCAAAATCTGCTCTTTCAAAATTGTGGAAAGATTTATTCACAGTTGCGGGGAAATTAATTGATAAGTTGATTTTAAAGAAAAATTCTAATGGTGGATGTAAAATGTCTACGTTGCGTATAGGATACCGACTTTCGACCACATTGATGTTTACATTAGACAAAACTAGATCTAGTATCTTTCCGCTTGCGTTTTTGTTAGTGTTATATTGATTCAGATCGTGCAAAGTGAAAAAATCTATTAAGCTACTTTTAAGAAGACAGAGTAGTTACTTGGGTATGCGTACTGAACGCTGAATTTATAGGTATAAATAGGTATATTTTAATTAACGTTTGTTTGTTCGTATTTTATGCGCTGCCATACTGTTCATCAGATTGCGGTAAAACTTTGTCAACATATTGCTTGCACTTGCGTGAGGTTATAGGCATAATACAATTAACTTAATAGTAGGTGGCGCGCGCATCGTACCGGCTTTATTTGAAAGTTATAATATATTATCCAAATTTAAAAAGATATTTACGCAATTATTTCTTCTGCAGTTGCAACGCGCCGAGTATCAGCTGGTACTGTTTATTCTTAATAAATGAAATCAAAACGATTTATTGAATCAAGATATTCGGCATTTCTGTGACTATCGTGTGTGCTTACCTGTATTCTATAAGGGAATTCTCTGTAATAGAGATCCTCGCGATCGAAGAACTCCACAGAATACGAATCCACCTTAGAAAGTTTTCTTCTCTCCAAACCTTCTTTAAGGTTCGTAACACCATAACCAGCTCCAGCGAGGTACATTAAAAATATGAGGATGACCAATGCCTTGATGAAGCTGTTGTTAAGTATATTTGCCATGGTGGTTTTGAAGAACGCCATAATGCAATGTTCTTTGTTGTCGATAGGATTGTCTGGATCGGCGAGATCTATTCCACCACTGCAGAATATCCGGTATAGCCATGACTTTTCTTCTGTGAAAAAAAAAAGAATAAAATTATTCTTTCATAAAAATAGTCGCTACGTACTATATTCATCCCGATTCGTAAGTAACGAAGTGTGGGAAAAATAATTTTTTCATTACAGCCTATTTAACTCCACTGTCGAACATGAAGAAGCCTTCATAGATTGCCTTATAAGGGGAATATTTACCATAATTGGTGGCTCGGTGGGTGGGTTGGCAACCGCAGTATTTTTTTTTCTAGTTTTTAAAAGGAAGGCGCTGCTATCCATCTCGTTACTATTAAAAATTGCGAAATATAAACGTTTTTTTTTATTTTATCAAATTATTTCCTTTTCAGAATATATATACTGTGTAGTGGCGGTGTAAGAATATCTACTACCCCATATCTCGAGGGTATCGTAAGAGGCGACAGAAGGAAAATGAAACAGGAAATATGCAGCAGTATCTTCCTGAAAACAGCTCAAAATAATAAAAAACTGCGGTTGCCTACACGTTTGCCAAGCGTGGCAAATATGGCAAAATCCCCCATGAGGCAATCTATTAGGTAAGCCTATGTTCGGCATTGGACTTTTAGGCTGTAATGGATATATGGATGGATGGATGTATGTGATAACAACGTCCCATTTTCTGCCACTATATCGATGGCATCGATAAAATAAGAGACTTCAAGGTGAGAAAAAGTGGTAGCTCAGTGTTTGCGCAAATATTTCTTGCGTTATAATTTATACAAAAGTAAAGTAAAGTTGCAGCCTATTTAAGTCCCACTGCTGAGGGTTTTTAGGGCAAGAAAATGCCCGCCGTGCTGCCTCAATGCGTGTTGGCGAACTTCACATGTTTTTGAAATAGTTTTTTATAAGATATATATAGAAAACAAGTCTCCTGTTAAAAAAAAAACAATGCGTTTGTCTTACTCTTTAATTTTGCTTAAAATGGTTGAACTGCCGTCTTATTACTATCATATGGCCGAATAGAGCTACGAACTACCATGTGCTCTTGTGATATGGTATAAGGTTTATTTTTGCTTGAAACAGTTTGAAACCGTTCATGCATAAAAAAAGTTCGCTAATAAATAGTCTTTTGTCAATCCGCCACCGTATAACCGGCGTTATACGGTTTGTTTCCTTTTCAAAACACTTTTGCTGTTCTTACTAATTAGACGTTTTCAAATCGACTTTACTTTTACATTTGTATAACATTAAATAATATTTAACATTTGTAAATATTAATGAATCATAAACCTTATTTTTTTTCAAATTAAGGTTCTTGATTGTTTGATATTTACAAATATTATTATTAGGTAAAAATTTAATTTAATTAAAACCAAGGTTTTCCAGGGTGATTTAGCTGTACCTAGTTATATAAATGATTTTTTTATAAAACAAAAAATAGTACAAAATGTTTGTAATCTGCATAAAAAAAGTCACTTGCTCTCAATTTCAAAGAAAACACGTAGAAAAACACGTAGTTACCTACTAAAAACAAGTATCCTTCTGTTTGTAACTGATGTTTGATGTCAACTAAACTTAATTAGGTCTAAACAAGTGAAAAAAAATAAATAAAAAAGAACATTACTTTTACACATGGCTTAATGGCACAATAGGCGTGTCATCAATTTCTGTGGCAAATATTTGTTCGCCGCCACAGCTAAAAGTTGTCGAAAATTGGTGCCGCAACGAATCGGTTAATTCCGTCCTCCATGGTGGCACTACTCCGGAGGCGTGGAGCAGAAGTGCAGTGGTCTTGTTCTTCAAGAAAGGCGACAACGCTGTCTTGAAGAACTACAGACTGATTTCCCTTCTGAGCCGCGTCTACGTGCTGTTTTCGAGAGTCATTACGAATTGTCTCGCACGCAGACTTGATGACTTCCAGCCTCCCGAACAAGCCGGTTTCCGAAAAGGCTTTAGCACCATAGACCACATACATAGGTACCCTTCGGCAAATTGTACAGAAGTCCGAGGAGTACAATTTGCCACTATGTCTGGCGTATGTGGACTATGAGAAAGCCTTTGATTCCGTCGAAATTTAGGCGGTGCTGCAGTCCCTTCAGCGGTGCCAAGTTTACTGTCGGTATATCGAAGTGCTGAAGTGTTTGTAGAGTAGAGCTACGATGGCTATCCGAGTACAGAATCAGAGTACGAAACCTATCCAACTGCAGAGGTGTAAGACAGGGTGACGTTATATCCCCGAAACTCTTCACCGCTGCATTGGAAGACGTTTTCAAGCTACTGGACTGGAAAGGATGTGGTATTAATATCAATGGCACATCACTCACCTTCGATTTGCCGACGATATAGTCCTTATGGCAGAATCGCTGGAGGACCTAAGCACTACGCTCAATGACCTCAATAGTGTCTCCCAACGGATAGGTCTTAAGATGAACATGGACAAAACAAAGATCATGTTTAATGTCCATGTCACACCTATGCCGGTAGTTGTTGGGAGCACTAAGCTCGAAGTTGTTGACGATTATGTTTACCTGGGACAAATAGTCCGACTAGGTAAGTCCAACTTCGACCGAGAGGTCAATCGACGGATTCAACTCGGCTGGGCAGCGTTCGGGGAAACTACGACACATCTTCTCGTTAGACATACCTCAAAACCTGAAAACGAGACTGTACAACCAGTGCGTGTTGCCAGTGATGACTTACGGATTTGAGACGTGGTCCTTCACTGCTGGCCGTATGAGGAAGCTCAAGGTCGCTCAGCGAGCTATGGAGAGGGCTATGCTCGGGGTTTCTCTGGGTGATAAACTTAGAAATGAGGATATCCGCAGTAGAACCAGAGTGATCGACATAGCCCAACGGATTAGTAAGCTGAAGTGGCAGTGGGCCGGCCATATAGCTCGAAGAACCGACAACCGATGGGGAAGAAAGGTTCTCGAGTGGCAGCCTCGTACCGGTAGGCGAAGTGTAGGGCGACCCCCTACTAGATGGAGTGACGACCTGGTAAGACATGCAGGAAGTCGATGGATGCAGGTGGCTCAGGACCATGCTTTGTGGCATTCCTTGGGGGAGGCCTATGTTCATCAGTGGACTTATGAAAGGCTGTAATGATGATGATGAATGATGAAATTTCGAAGATTATAAAAAAAATATACATAGGTATTATGAATTACCTTTGCGAGCTCTTGATTCTGGCAACACCTTTAACCACGTGATGGTGTGTCTGTTTTGCTTCTCTCGGTATCCGGATACAGCCATACAACCGGCAAAAAATGTGAGATGCCATACAAATGTAAAACATACGGCTAGACCTGTTCAACAAATACATCAAATGTTATTATTAAAAAAATACTATTACCACAGTTCAAAGAGTTTACTTAGTACTTTTAAACTGTGTTATGTATTAATTTAAATATTCAACTTTACCTGAATACATGCAGAATATTTGCACCGATGGAAATGGTGAAAAGATACCGATGAAAAAGGAAAGCATATCCGTGACCGATGTTATCGTTATAGAAACAGCAGCCTCGGAAAGCATCGTTGCCATTCTCTCTGGCACGGGAAGTTTTGGCGAAGTGCGCCGCCATGCCGCTAGCATTACAAACGTGTCATCAATACCAATACCTGTAAAATTATACATGCAATTTGTCATTAATTTTAATAAATTAAATAGGTAATAATTTTATAAAATTAAATAAAAGTATGCGAATTAAATAACTTACCGATCATGAGGAATGGTGCTGCTAGGTTAATTCCAATGAAAGAAATTCCTAAATATATTGCGCAACCAAAAGCTGCCACGGTTGCCATAACAGCAGAGATGTTTCCAAGTAGGCCCAACCAAGGTTTAGAACGAACCCAGTCGCCCATCATACACGTTAGAATAGAGAATATCCCCATTAAAATAAAGGTCGAACTGAAGAAAGGCACGACCGTCCGGGTGTTCTTTTCAAGCTCGTGATCGAGAGTGCGTGATGCGAAGCGAGCGATTGAAATGTGCTTGAAACGTCCTGTATCTTCGGCTATGCCGACTTCGTCGAGAAATGCGTCTTCCCATGCTGCACCCCTGTAATTAGTAAACATAAATATGCAGGTTACCTAATTGTTATTTTTTACTCGGTTGAGCCACAGAGTAAGGAGTTACTCATGTGGTAGAGCCATGCTGCAGCTATATTATGATTGTAGCAAGCATAGGTCGACTCGACAGGGGAAGAACTACGCTCTCACAGAATACCACCGCTTAAGGCTGCTGTGTTTCGTACGGTGGGTGTCGACAACCGGAGACCCTTCTTACTGGAAACGGGGTATTTTATCATAGTGCTTCGTGGTGACAACGCATCTGTTCTTTGATTTTTAATCGAGATAGATGTAGATCACCTTCGATTTGCCGACGATATAGTCCTTATGGCAGAATCTCTGGAGGACCTAAGCACTATGCTCAATGACCTCGATAGTGTTTCCCAACGGATAGGTCTTAAGATGAACATGGACAAAACAAAGATCATGTTTAATGTCCATGTCACACCTATGCCGGTAGTTGTTGGGAACACTAAGCTCGATGTTGTTGACGAGTATGTTTACCTGGGACAAATAGTCCGACTAGGTAAGTCCAACTTCGACCGAGAGGTCAATCGACGGATTCAACTCGGTTGGGCAGCGTTCGGGAAATTACGGCACATCTTCTCGTCAGGTATACCTCAAAACTTGAAAACGAGACTGTACACCCAGTGCGTGTTGCCAGTGATGACATACGGAACTGAGACGTGGTCCTTCACTGCTGGCCGGATGAGGAAGCTCAAGGTCGCTCAGCGAGCTATGGAGAGGGCTATGCTCGGAGTTTCTCTGCGTGATAAACTCAAAAATGAGGTTATCGGCAGTAGAACTAGAGTGACCGACATAGCCCAACGGATTAGTAAGCTGAAGTGGCAATGGGCCGGCCATATAGCTCGAAGAACCGACAACCGATGGGGAAGAAAGGTTCTCGAGTGGCAGCCTCGTACCGGCAGGCGAAGTGTAGGGCGTCCCCCCACTAGATGGAGTGACGACCTGGTAAGATATGCAGGAAGTCGATGGATGCAGGTGGCTCAGGACCGTGCTTTGTGGCATTCTTTGGGGGAGGCCTATGTTCAGCAGTGGACTTGTGAAGGGCTGTAATGATGATGATGAGATGTAGATGCCTATATATGCCTATATATGGGCCACAGCATGATTATTTATAGAGATGGAGCTAAACTTTAAGGCGTTTGCCTACTCAATTTATTTATTTTATTTATGTGTCCTTAAAAATTATTACGCTTTGAGTCTGGCTGTATAGCAACTGACTATTCGCGGGTTTGCTAAAGGTAGTCTTTGATTATCTTTAGGCGGTACAACCAATAAAACACAATAAAAATATTATTTCTTACGAAATCTTGAAACGTTCAGCAAAATTTGTTACCAAGTTTGTATAAATAGATACTTGTACTTTTCTATTTGTATTCTTGTCAAATATTACGCAGTGTTTAGTATTCGTAACGATTTCCTAAACCGTGTCAAGATCGATGGCCTATTATTTAAGTTATGAGATTTAGTTGTTAAGTGAAATGCTCGACGCTATTCAAATTTAAAACAAGCCATAAGAAGCAAATTGTACAAAATTAACGTAATGATAATTTTACAAAGCTCCAATACAAATGTTAAAATGTGTTTCCTACCAAAGTAATTAAAGCTTTTAACGATCATGGTTTCCTTGTATTGCGTTCTATTTGACAGCTCGTAATTTTATGTGTTTACTAATAGAAGCTATTGCATTTATATGAGTATAGTTTAGGTACTTATTATTAACATTTTTTATGCTAAATTTTAAAAGTTTAATTATAATGCATTACACTTTTACCAACAAAGATTTCAAGCGCGACGTTTCAAGTGATTGCGAAACCGTGCTTAACTTTTTGACACGCGCTTACGTACACATCTTTCTTTCCCGCCACATACATACGAAATCCCGTTTCGAGATTCCGTTTCGGAATTCCGAACGGGTCGGCCACACACATACGGAATCCCGCTTTGGCCGAAAAATTTCGAACGGAAAACTACCGTACGTGTGTGACAGGTCATAGATTTTACATGAACTTGCTGCGTTTGGAATCTCGAATCGAAATATCGAAACGGAATTCCGTATGTATGTGGCGGGCCTAAATCGGCTTGTAATAGTGCTCTGCTGGACGCAAACATATTACCTAAGTACCTAAAACCATGGTGTTGGTTGCGAATGATTTTAGTATGTGTACGTGAGTACGTGAGTGCTCCATCTTCACAGCTCACATTTTTCTGGCTACCAACTACTACGGTACTAAATATTATCTAATGGTAGAAAACGAATGATAGTTTTTTGCATTTACACGTTAAATTAACTGCAAAAGTACCAGTATTGTTTTTTAGTATTTTGCAATCTGTTTGTCCATTGCGTCGTATAAAAATTGTCCTTGAGCGGCAGCAGAGGCAGAATTTTGTCAGAAGCTTAACTAAAAAGTTTTGCCTTTCAGAAAGCAAATGCATTGTTATATATTTGCGGCTAGGGATATTTATCTGTTATATTTGCCATAGTAAAGAACTCACCTTTCCTGCTGCAATTTGGTATCTGTCCTTACGAACCACACCAATTGCACGGCGGGTACTGATACTATCATATCATCCACAACTTTGGAGCCACCGAAGAAAACTGGAAAAGCATGAGCCTCCCACGTCACAGGGTTGAACATGATAGGAAATGTTAGATTCAGTTCACCGCGCTCGACCTGTTAAAATATATATATAGATATAGATTGAAAATTTATTGAGATTTAGAAACTTTTCCTTCTATATAACTACATAAGGAAAAATTTCTTTTAGTCTTTGCATGCTGTCGTCGCAAAAGTTATCAAATTATTTCCTTTTCGGATCATATATACTGTGTAGTGGCGGTGTAAGAATATCTACTACCCCATATCTCGAGGGTATCGTAAGAGGCGACAGAAGGAAAATGAAACAGGAAATATGCAGCAATATCTTCCTGAAAAGAGCTCAAAATAATAAAAAACTGCGGTTGCCTACACGTTTGCCAAGCATGGCAAATATAGCAAAATCCCCCATGAGGCAATCTATTAGGTAGGCCTATGTTCGGCAGTGGACTTTTATAGGCTGTAATGGATGGATGGATGTATGTGGTAATAATGTCCCATTTTCTGCCACTATATCGATGGTATCGATAAAATAAGAGACTTCAAGGTGAGAAAAAGTGGCAGCTCAGTGTTTGCGCAAATATTTCTTGCGTTATAATTTATACAAAAGTTGCAGCCTATTTACGTCCCACTGCTGGGCACAGGCCTCCTCATTTCTGAGAGGGATTTTGGGGCAAGGAAATGTCCGCCGTGCTGCCTCAATGCGTGTAGGCGAACTTCACATGTTTTCGAAATATTTTTTTTTCTTATTTCTCAGACATGCAGTTTTCCTCACGATGTTTTCCTTCACCGCCGAGCATGTGGTAAATGAGCACTTAAAATTGCAATTAACAATTTCATTGGTGCCGGCGGGGATCGAACCCGGGTTGCTCGAGTACTGTGAAGCTTACAGCTAACCATCTGAGTTACCAATTATAAACTATAATTTATACATTAATAATTAATAGAAGTGGTAGTCAGTAAGTAATTTATATCAAATATAAATTAATATAGTCAATAAGTAGTAATTTATATTAAAATAACTGGCTTGTATTAAGATAATTTTTACATTAATATATCCTATCCAGGCGAAGCCGGGGCGAATCGTTAGTTTATAATATGCAGTAAACGGCAACTATTAGTAACAGGATGTGGCTATGTTGGTTGAAACCGTATAGGAAAACTATCAGTATCGTTATATAACCATTGCAATTGTACCCATTTAACGATAATTAAAACCGATTGTAAGTTGGTGTGTTGCGTTGTGCTAGTTTTTTTTCGTTCAAGTTTACTTAATAATAACGATACACACACGTTAGATATTTCTCCTGTATTATTTAAATGAAACACATGAATCTCAGGACATATTGCTTTGCATTCGTCGAGTCCGCATAAGGCCCACCACATACATACGGAATGCCGTTTCGAGATTCCGTTTCGGAATTCCGAACGGTCGGCCACACACAAACGGAATCCCGTTTTGCCCGCAAAATATCGAACGGAAAACTACCGTACGTGTGTGGCAGGTCATAGATTTTATATGGACTTGCTCCGTTCGGAATTCCGAACGGTCGGCCACACACAAACGGAATCCCGTTTTGCCCGCAAAATATCGAACGGAAAACTACCGTACGTGTGTGGCAGGTCATAGATTTTATATGGACTTGCTCCGTTCGGAATTCCGAACGGTCGGCCACACACAAACGGAATCCTGTTTTGCCCGCAAAATATCGAACGGAAAACTACCGTACGTGTGTGGCAGGTCATAGATTTTATATGGACTTGCTCCGTTCGGAATTCCGAACGGTCGGCCACACACAAACGGAATCCTGTTTTGCCCGCAAAATATCGAACGGAAAACTACCGTACGTGTGTGGCAGGTCATAGATTTTATATGGACTTGCTCCGTTCGGAATTCCGAACGGTCGGCCACACACAAACGGAATCCTGTTTTGCCCGCAAAATATCGAACGGAAAACTACCGTACGTGTGTGGCAGGTCATAGATTTTATATGGACTTGCTCCGTTCGGAATTCCGAACGGTCGGCCACACACAAACGGAATCTTGTTTTGCCCGCAAAATATCGAACGGAAAACTACCGTACGTGTGTGGCAGGTCATAGATTTTATATGGACTTGCTGCGTTCGGGATTCCGAATCGGAATATCGAAAGTGAATCTCGAAACGGAATTCCGTATGTATGTGGCGAGCCTAAAACAGGCAAGAATAATACTAGAAAACATTGTTTGTGTGTGATCAAAAAAAAAACATATTTATACAAAAGTTGTAAAAATGTAATAATGATGTCCTCTAGACCGAATTTCAGTCACGGTGGCCAATCTCAACGGAGACCAGCCATGTCCGCAGGACAGTTATTTGTGCCCAAGTGCAAGCACTGGTGCACTCTATTCCCTCACTCGCATAGTCCGATGGGACGGTAATCCAACACGACCTGAGATACATCAGGCGCAGGACCTACGGCTTTACATGCATTGCGACGGAGGGGGGGGGGGGTGCACACCGCCAACTTCCTGAACTTTCGGCCTGCTACTGAGAATGTCTTGAAAGAAAAACCTAAGAACTGATTTTGGCCCGACCCGGGTATGGAACCCAGGATTTCATGATCTCATGACCAGAAACCGCGTTTACCAACAATTCGACGAACGGCAGTCAAAATGTAAAAATGTTTATATTTAAAGCAAGAAAGACAAGCGCACAGGGAAGTGATAGGAAATAGTGAAAGTTAACATTGCATTCTTATAGGGAAATTTTAAAGATAAATCGCTGTTTTATTTCCTAAAGTATCTTCCACCACATAACGAAATACAGTCCACCAGTCCACAAGGGAGGTCAAGACCGGGACCATTTCAAGAGGACCCGTAATCTTAGTCGTCCAACCTTTCTTTTAAGAAAGGCTAACGAACGCTCTTGTGTGACACTCCTTCACGGGGTTCACATCCACCTCGTTGTTCCCGAACCCAACGTGGTGTGATTGGAGTTTCGGGATAGAACGTCTATGAAAGACTAATCCCTGTCTGCTGGACCCTTTCAGTTTGGTCAATCGAAATGTAAAAATGTGCAAAGCAGTGGCGTAGCAAGGGTGCGGCCAGGGGAGCCTCAGTCCCCGGACAGATATTTAAGGAGGCGGCATTTTTAAAAAGAAATAAAAATATGGCATTGGAAGTTCGGAAAATATAAATAACCTAGATGCTTCTACTTTTGCCTAGGTTTGTTTTTTTTTAGATCGTTTTTGTCTAGGAGTCCGTTTGGGTAGGAATTTACAGTGTTATTTATGCGCCAAGAAGCAGTGCGTGCTTTGCTATGTTCCAGTCTAAAGGATATACGAGTATAGAGTCAGTATTATGACAGACTGTGACTCATTCCACCTTAGTCCTCAGTTGTCAACTCATCTGTTTGAAGTTGGCTGCATGTGTCCATTTTTTTTATAGTATAGTGTGACAAACGAGCACATAGTCCACCAGATGGTAAGTGGCTGCTGCGGCCCATAGACATCTACATTTATCCTCGTTTGCGAATCAAAATGCAGATGCGTCGCCACCCGTGAGGACTAAGATAGAATGCCTCGTTTCCAGTAAAAGTGTCTCCGGTTCTCTACACTCACCATACGAAACACAGCAGTGTTAAGCTGCTATTTGACGCTGGTATTCTGTGAGAGCGTGGTCCTTCCCCGGTTGAGCCGACCCATTCATGCTACAACTATACTACTAATATAGCTGCAGCATGCTTCTACCACGTAAAAATGCATACATAATGCATGCACGAAATTTTATTTATTTTTAAACCAAATAATTTTATGATATTGGCGAAAATGGGAGGAGGACTTCGGCGCGGCGGTCCCGTCCGGCAGCAACCTTGTCACGCCGCTGCACTTTTATATTATCCTGCGTGATGTTTAACTGTTACTCCTTTTGTTAGTTGTATGTGAATACAATACAAATGTTAGGTAACAAATTTACATGGAAGAATATGTCGTAAAATTGAATGTGACTTACGATGAGCTCAGTCATCGATCGTCGATTATGATCTGCGGTTTTGGTGTCTGTTACTCATGATAGTCTATTGTTATGGTTTTGTACAGCTGCGCGTGTATGGTTTAATGTTTTTTTGCAATGAAAATACACATTACGCTTTATTGTCTAGAAAACTATGCATATAGGTATACGTATTTTGTTATGTCACTTTAGTTATAACGATAAATAATAAATATGCTTAGTTAAATAATTCCTTTACATTCAATGTTATGCTCGGCAACCGCGTGGTGTATGGTGGCAAACGTAGTTGGCGGTGGTGGTGACAAATCTGCGTACTGACTCGATCTAATTTAAATCCCACTCGGAGATAAAAAAAACAATTTTGGAAAAAGTACTCTACTATTATGTAAAACTCCGCAATTATGTAAAAGTACTATTACATAATTGCGGAGAGATGAGTACAAATGTGTCCTGTCGGTTTCATATCCTATTCAGTTAACTATAATCTCCGATCTTTGATTAAGTATATATATATAGGAATTAAAAGTGCAAGTTGGGCCTTGTAATAGGATTCCGTACATTAATACATTAATGTCCTATTAAATTAATTAAAAGTACTTATTTAATTATTATTATTTTTTTATACGATAGAGTGACAAACGAGCACACAGTCCACCTGATGGTAAGTGGTTACTGTGACCCATAGACATCTACATCTATCCTCAATAAAGACTCAAGATGCAGATACGTTGTCACCCGTGAGGACTAAGATGGAATGCCTCTTTGCCAGTAAAAAGGGTCTCCGGTTCTCTACACTCACCATACGAAACACAGCAGCGTTAAGCTGCTATTTTACGCTGGTTTTCTGTGAGAGCGTGGTCCTTCCCCGGTCGAGCCGACCCATTTATGCTACAACTATACTACTAATATAGCTGCAGCATGGCTCTACCACGTATAAAATTTTTAATTATTTAATGATGTAACGTAAACGGGGGGTGACAAACTACATTAAGAATCCATGTTTTCACAATTTAATGTTTCAATATGGAATATGGTCCATTTTGAACCATATGTGTCCTTAAAAATTATTAGTTTACTTGTACAGAAATTTCAAATTCCTAACTTTCATGTTTGATAGACCCCAATCTATCTAAAGTGACAATTTTAACGGCCCCCTTTGCTTTATTTTTGACCCTCTAAAAATCGTAAAAAATATACTTATACTTTACTCAATGAGCTCCACATGCTAGGGTAAGATTTTATTTTTATTTTCGGCTCTTTTTTCACGTTAAGTATATGAAAGTAATTAAAAGTTCCCTCGATAATAATTAAAGTGAATTTCTAATTCAATATTCGATTTAAGTTCAACAATCTACACGAAATATCCAGCCTTCAGGTGTGTAAGTCATTCCGTCTGCGAGCTAAATCTAGCTCTTACTTACACTGTGACATGCCAACAGAGAGACAGACAGATGCCGTACAGACAAGTGACAATGAAAGAGAAACAGACAGACCGACATACAGACAGACAGCAATATTAGTGGCACTAATAGGGCTCCGTTTTACCCTTTGGGCGAAGAATCCTAAAGAGAAAGTCATAACTACTTCCAATTCATTATTTAATGTACAATTTATAAGAATATGTTCTTACCTCGCCAATAATCTTATCTAGATTGAGGATGTCATTGGCAAAGCACTGTCCCTCCCATCTTGCGCACTCTTCCTTGTACGTGAAGGTCTCTCCACTTGGCAAAGTCACAGTTATGTTTTGCACCAATTCGTCTAGTTGTCGGAGCTCCTGCCAGACTTCTGTTCGCAGCAGGTTGGTGATGTTGTCCTTTGCCACGATGATGACTCGGCCGAACCTACCTGTTATGTAATATTTACTTTACAAATAATACTTTTGATCCCGAAATCGACCACGAGTCACTATCAGGTTGAAATACTTAATGAAATATGTCTTTTGATTTGACGTGTCTTTGAGACTACATTCGATTTTTTTAAATGTCAGTGACAGTCGAGCTAATAGTCCACCTAAAGGGCGATGCCTTTAGACCTCCATTTGAATAGTATAAACGTTACTTTGTACACTATAACGTGATAATGGTTTCTAGCTCTTGATGTGAGAGTCTCATCATCATAATCTGCCTGTGACTGTCCATTTGGATTGGCCATTTGGACAAGGGCCTCTCCAATTGTAGGGAGAATATGCTGTAAACGCCACACCTGGTAGGCGTATTGGCGATTTCGGATTAGACATCAATCGAGATAACAACGCATCGGCATTCTGATTCTTTATTTAGGATAGATATACATAGATGTCTATGGGCCTCAGCATCCTCTTACCATCAGGTGGACTGTGTGCTCGTATATTACCATTATTTAAAAAAAGACTTCTACCTTTGACGCCCTCGAGAGACTTCGTGATAAAAAGGGCGAGAAGCATTAATTAAGCGAGCTTTATTATAATACCTTGATATCCAACAAAGCAAGGGCGGTGTCAGAGTATTTCTATCATCATTAAATTGGTAACAGTCTATAAGTAGATGGGCATAAGCTTTGCCCAAATTGTGAGATTTTACCGCTATCGCTACGCTAGGTGAGCGGTCCGTCTACCTATACACCTGTAGTTAGGTCTATCGGGATATTCTAGATAACTCTTAATTTAACATCTATACTAAAATAAAAACTAAAACTAGTGACTTAATTATCATACATATCGCGGCGAGTAGGACCCCCGCGGTATCGTGCCAAGAACGCTGGCTGCGTTTCCCCGCTCAATGGCTATACTTAGCCTTTGAGCGAGAAAAGAACCAGCCCTCTTATCACTTATTATATTATATTACCTTATCACATCTTGATTTTAGTAGCCTTAACTTTCTCCTCTTTTAGATCACACTACAAGTTGGATTATTGGAAGAACAGGGTGATAAATAGATCTTCTTTGTGTGACCTATCACGTTGCATATCATTATTTGTTTGCGCTAATTGAGTAGGATTGATTTTGTAATATCAATTAGTTTATTTATTGAAAATGTTTAAACAAAAACTCATTTTGTATTACTAGTTCAAGGTTAAAGCGTTTTTTCATAGAATGGGATTACGACTTTCACTCTTGCTTACGCTACGTTAATGCAAGGACTTTTTGTTGATATTATTTTGCAGCTGTCATAGTAGAGAATTATCAATTAACAATTATCAAAATGATGCTTTGACAAAATGTTTAACAATGTTAAATGCGTATGAAATTAAGTTTATTGTAAAATAATTGATAAACTAAAAATAACGTGAGGTTATATAAATTAAAATTAAGTTCATGGTTAGGGTACTGACCCTAACCATGAACTTAACTGGTAAGGGATCGAGTATTTTTGAAAATTTCACTATTATAATATATGTTCTTCTGCTGTTCAATCTTACATCCATAATCAGAGTTTATTGTACAGAAAAATTTTAAGACAAGCATCTACAGTTGTTGTTTCTTAAATATCTGTACCTGCTCGGGTAATCCTTCCAACGCTAAATCGATGAGAGTAATTGACCTTGAAGTGCTCTTCAACGATTCTTCTCTCCAGTTTTCCCTGTCCGCTGACCGGTGAAAACAAATACTCAGGATCCATTTCATAGTGCACTCGTTGGTAGCCAGTAACCATTAGCAATGTGAGCAGGACCGGGATGATGATGAAGTAGCCTGGCTGCTTTCCCACCATTAAGCCCAGTTTGTAAAAGGATCGATTGAGAACGTCGTCGACGAATGTAAGTTTGCAACCCATCTGTAACAAATGAAATCGCTTAAGTTTTTATAATATTTTCAAAATGTTATGTAAACGTAGTCATGGACTACTGACTAAAATATAACATATAACAATAAACTATGCATAAAATCAATTGATCTCGGTTATTATCGGATAACTATATCATAGACTTCATAAAACTAGTTATACGACAGTAGCTTCATGGTAGAGTACGGACTGCAAAATCAGAAAGTCGTGAATTCTAAACCGCCATTCGACTACTCCCAACACAAAAATTTTAAGATTTTTAAGATTACTGAGCGAAAATATTAGTATAATTTCTTGTACTATTATATACTCTGTGGTATAATGCTACAATTTTTATAGAATAAGGGTGGCACTACTAACGTACTTATATTCTTTTTTTAAAGCAGGTTATTAACTTATTTGTTAACTCCTTGCTTTAATGTAATGAAAACAATACTCCAATTCAACCATCGTTTAAATTTGTATTAGGAATGCAACTGTCCTTAATTGATGATAGAACCAAACCTTGAATTGATTGATAGAACCAAAACCATTTCAGATAAGACGAGATCGATCACTAATTTGGTATCGATCTCAGAATGGTGGTAATGTCAACAATTCGTTAGTATTTCCCGACACATTTACCTACTTCGAAAATTGATTTCGTCGTAATAGCGAGTATAGGGGAAGCCCCTAATACCAGCCCCGCCCCTAATAGCAGTATCGCATTTTTACTTCAAAAATAAGATTTCTAGTGGTCTTACTACTACAAATATTGTACACTAAAGAATTATTCATAACTAGAGGAAAGTATATTTCAAATATTACTACGCCGTTATCAGTGTTAAATTTTAAATCAAAACGCCTACGCAACGGACAACACTCATTTTCCTATTTTTTTGACTAGTTATGGTCCTGAAAAATAAGGAATATTTTACATTATCTCGACTTTAGGCTTTGTGATTTGCATGCAATGACTGTAGACATAGTAATGAAGTTATTTTTGAATAAATTTATAAATTTCTTATTTTCTTGTAGTGGAAATTAATGGTATATAATTATGGCTGTAATTAGTTAAACGAAATGTATGGAGTGCATAATGTCAGCCGTCAGGCTGTTATTTATTGTGAGGTACCAAATAAGAAGAATCTAATTTCAGACAAGTTATCAAAATCTGGAATAAATAGAATAATTAATTAGGAAAACTTATTTTCAGAGGATGGAATATTAGTTGGTACTTCGATAAAGTATATTATAATCAGTAAATTCTTATTTTAAATTATCGGTCTTAGGTACCTATAATTGTTGATTATTAATTATATCTCTACCTGTCATTTAGTGAAAAAATAAAGAGAGCAACTTTAAACATTTCTTAAAATGACAACGATTTTTATGAGTAAGGCAGTAAATTATTCTTAATAATGCACAACCAAAATAATAATATTACTGCCTATATGTGCTTCACTTTAATTATGTTATAATATTCATATTTTGACATGAATTGTCAAATAAGGAGCAAAACGCGAAACTTTGTTTCTAGTGACTTTAGTTAGTAGAATATTTTTTATTTTTGTATTACTAACAAAAGAGATACATCAAACACTGCGCAGAGTGCAGTTTAAAAAAATGTGATAATAGTCTCATTCAGACGCATCAAAGCCTTCAGGCGATCATATCACACTTTGTAGATTATCAGTGCGGACCTCCTTGACCGGTTGCTTGCTACTACCTTTCACTTATGTTTACGTTGTTATATAAGTTGTATATAGAGTAGATGCTTACATACCATGTGAAAAATTGCTTCAAAATTAAACTTTAAATAAAGGTTTGTTTTTACTTTTTATTAAAATAAGAAACATCATTTTGTGGGGACTAAAGAATGAAATTCGAGATAAGAAGCAGTATATGTTTAAATAGTTACTCGTACATTAAAAAATAGAAACTTCATCTCATAATTTTTCATCCTAAATAGTGAAAATTTTTATACGTCGTGTGGCCACGCTGCAGCTACATATATTATGGTTGTAACATGAATGGGTCGGCACGACTGGTGAAAGAACAGGAACATGCGCTCACATAATACCATATCGTAAAAATAAAAAAAAATATAATTAGTTTTAATGTAAAGAAATATTGTTCATAAAAATGTAAGAAAGAAGATTCCTATAGACATTTTAAGTGTAAATTGTATTCGTAATTTATTTAAATAATAATCTTAACGTAGTGAAAGGGAAAGGTTTACCTACATGTATTACTTATATTATCTTTATATTATCAATATTAGTAATCAGCACGCAGTCCATCTGATGGTAAATTGATACGGATGTTGTAGCCCATAGACACGTACATCTATCATCTTATATGTATATACCATAGATTAAGAATCAAATTTAGATATAATAGAATATAATAGAATAGAAGAATATAATATTTTTTTATTCAATGTAGAGTCACATGTGCAATTCTTATTGAAAGTCATATTTTACTTTACCACTGGTTCGAAAAAAAAACCTCTGTCCTGGAAAAAACCGGCAAGAAACCCAACGGAACTTTTTTTAAGTAAATTTTACATTAATGGTTGTACATGTACTGTTTACAAAATTTATTTTAGAAACTGGTTGGAAGCGACCACCTCATTCACAGGGATTATTATCAACCATGTATTCATTTATATTATAATAACACTTTTTATACAGTTTCAGCTTAACAAAACATTTAAACTTGGGAATAGAGGAATTTTGTTGTAATAGCGTATACATTGCCCCAATAATGAATTACTGACTCTGTGGAGTCAAGAGACTGGTATCACTAGCTTGTGTTTGTTCCTAGTGTTTACAGAATATATATCACTTTTTTTACTAAAACTACCTTTGTTATTGTGAACATACATTAAATTTTCGTAAATATACTGTAAGGCCAAAGTTAATATATTTATTTCTTTTTTATCTGTAAGAGACTTTCTCAGTTTTAGTTTGTAAATAGCTCTAATGGCCCTCTTCTGTAAAACAATAATAGTTTCTGAATCAGCCGCATTTCCCCATAGTAAAATCCCATAAGACATTATGCTATGGAAATAACTGAAATAAACTAATCTAGCTGTCTCGACACTAGTGAAACCTCTAATCTTTTTTACAGCATAGGCTGCAGAACTTAGTCTGCTTGCTAGTTTGGATATATAGGGGCCCACTGAAGCTACTTTGTTACCCATGATGACTAAGATGAAACACCTTATTACTAGTAAAAAGGGGTCTTGACCTGAATGACTGGATTTGACACTCACCATACGATTGTTGGCTACGGTCTGTTTATCTTTTTTTATGGCCCCTGGTGCACAGGAGGGTTGAATGAAACGTTGAAATATACGTAGAAATTAATACACCGTTGGATGCTACTAACAGACTGCATAATTATACGGCATAAACATAGTATCTACTTTCTTTAAAAGTACCTATCAAAGGAAAAATCAATTAATAATACAATAAAACTAGCCAAGTGCGTGTTGAGTAGTACACAATGTAGAGGTAGGGTTTTGTAGTTACTAGTCACAATATAGCATTCAAATTAAATATCTCCAGTTTACACGACTGAAGTATAGGCACTTCGAGAGTGGCCTGTGAAAGTAAATACGACCGGTCGTCGACTCCTCGCGTCGCGTGTTAGCCTGGTGACTTATTGACGGTGGCAATGATCTATACCGCTACATTGATTGTTCGTCGGTTCGTCTTCACTTTACCAACTTTATATTAATCATTTTTTTTGACCTGAATGACTAAATTTGACAACGCTCAGCCTTTCAATTCATTAAGATATGTTATGTCTTGTTCTTCAATGAGGGCATCCACGACTTTTTCGGCCACTAGAGCGGCGCCACTTAAAATTGAGGTATAATATTTGACAGATTTCATAGCGGGGAAGTTAATTTGTTCGAAAAATGCAAAGGTTAATGTTTCCTTCTGTACTATTAACTAAATTTTATATTAATAAGTTTAAAAATAAATAAATCAAATCGCAAATATTCATAAAAGTAGAAAAATTAAAAAAGTTTAAAATGTGCAAAAAATTAAAGAGCAAACCAGGCTTGAGGCATTGTTTTGTGTATTAATATAATACTCTAGGAACTGATAAACTTTTGATTTCTTATACTTACGCGAACACTACACGGGAGTCCCCCGTGACCATGGTTAATATGTTATAAAATAACGTATAAAATAAGTTAATTAAACGCGATAAAATCCGTAAAATGTAGTTTTATTCAATGATAAACTTTTATTTAAAACTAACTTCTCAATTTTTTTTTTTTTTTTTTTTATAGAATAGGGGGCAAACGAGCATGCGGCTCACCTGATGTTAAGTGACTACCGCCGCCCATGAACAACCGCAACACCAGGGGAATTGCAGATGCGTTGCCGGCCTTTTAGAAAGGTGTAAGCTCTTTTCTTGAAGGTTCCTAAGTCGTATCGGTTCGGAAAATTCGCTGGTGGTAATTGATTCCACAAAGAAGTTGTGCGAGGGAGAAAACTTCTTCTAAATCGCACAGTGGTGGACCGCCAATCATCCAGATGGTATGGATGGTAACGCGAGTTTTGTCGCGACGTGCGATGGTGAAATTGAGCGGCTGGAATTAGTCCGAACAATTCCTCAGAGCACTCCCCGTGATAGATGCGATAAAATACGCAAAGAGATGCAACATCTCTACGCAGTGCCAGTGTATCGAGCCGATCGGAAAGAACTCGGTCGTCGACGATTCGAATCGCTCTGCGCTGGATGCGGTCAAGTGGAAGGAGCTGGCACTGGGGTGCCCCGGCCCAGAGATGAGAACAGTATTCCATGTGGGGCCGAACTTGCGCTTTGTAAAGTTGCAAGCGATGTGCCGGCATGAAATACTGTCTCGCTCTGCTGAGCACGCCAAGCTTTTTAGAGGCCAATTTGGCCTTCCCTTCCAAGTGACCACGAAACTGCACGCTATTCGATATGTCGACGCCAAGGATTCCGATACTGGCTGAGGCAGCAAG